AAAACAGAGATTTAAGCAACAGTAGTCACTCAGTAGAGGATGCAATCAACAGCATTAAAGAAATTCAGTGTCCTGTTCAACATCTCGGGGCAGAATTCACCTGCGCAGTGTCCATGATGTCCATGTGCGTTTTGATCAAAGTACTGGAAGGGCACAGGGACACTGTTCTTCCATTCTTCATGCAAGTTGTCAACACACGACACGAAAAACATTCACCTCCAGCTGGCCCAATTAAATCACAACTGATTTAAGTGTTTTAAAATGTTTTAAAGCCATCCCATGCCATCCCCAAAACATATCAGTCGTTGGGGATCTGAAACCACCAAGGTTTGACTGATTCACATACCTACAATTCTACTCCTTTGCCCGTTGCATCACCCTTTTCACCACCTGAATTCGCCATTCTTATCATTCTTCGTTGAATCATCATGTCTCATCAGTCTAGATGTTTTCCATGGCAAAATCATGTTGAAACTGTTCAATCCTGATTTTTTTCTTTTTTCAGTAAAACCTCCAAACTTCATGGCGATTCAACCGGCGCCTTGCCAGCGTGGCCGGACTTCTCAATGGCCTCCATCAACACATCCAAGGCCTTCCGACGGCAAGTTATAGCCCCGAAATGCCGCAAAACTAGGGATCCTGCTCCTTTGAAGAATGGTGGCTATAAATTAACTGTAAAATATAGTGTTTCATACAATTGTCATACCGAATTTATGTGTATTTTGGGTTGGTTAATCAACGGAAATTGGCTATAACATGCTATAACATGATCAAAGGATCTATAACTCTACAAGAAACACACGGGATGAATAGGGGACTTTGACAAAACAATCAAATGAATGGGTTTGCTACATAGATGGGAGAATCATGGAGAATCTATGATCTTTCACGGAGTTGAACCTGGCCTGGTGATTTAATGTGGTTTAAGCAACAACATCTCTAGTCATTCTAGTCTTCTAGATCTTCTAGCATAGCCGCTAAGCCAATGTGACAACGTCGGTTTGAAAGGTATGGATTTGGATGGCTGACTCAAGCATCTCAAGCTATAAGCAGGATAGGCGTATCCGAACATAACTGGGAAGTTTTTAAACTGCAGATCCCAACTAGGTGGTTGATGGGCTCCAACCAGTTGCCCGCCCATTTTCTGTTCAAAAGATAAAACCCGGCCATACCAGGTATACAACCCATCAAACAAGCCAAGTATTTCAGTCTGTTTTCCTGGAGTTGGCCCCGAGATGTTCCGAACACTTACTGGGGCTTGGCCTCGTTGTTGTCTTGGACGCTTGGTGCAAATCCTCAGCGTCCAACCGACTGGGTTTCAACGTGCCTCTGGATATATTCTTGTTGCCGAAACCCATGTTCTCTAGAACAATAGGATGGATAAATCATGGTAAATCAATTCTGTTTGATGAGCAATTCCAAACTCCCAGTAGTATCACCGACAGTCATTCTCTCGTGGCAGTTGTTGAAATCCCTCCAAGGGTGCAGCCACCCTCGTCGCCCACGTTGCAGGCATCCTGGCAGTGCGCTGTGATAGAGGGCATCATCATCATCTATACCATGAACCCAAATCATCGAGAATCATGAAGAATAATTCCAAACATATCTGCAAATATCCTCTGAAGATATCTTTACAAGCTGGCAACACAAAATGGAGCTACAACAAAACAAATCGGTTGGCTCCCATGCTTTCCTTGGTGGAATAGGTGAAATTTCCCATATGTTTCATGGTCATTCCGTGACCCTTCGGAAAGATCTTCCCCTTCTCACGGGGTCGAGTCGGCCACAGACCTGGCCATACTTCTTCTTGATGACGCTCTTCAGGTTGTGGTAGACCTGTCGGACACATGACGGAGCTCCTGTGATGCTATTGGGTCTGATTCCTTTTTCCCGCCTATCTGCCCAATACTTGGGAACACTTAGTGGGTACATGTTCAACATGGTGCCAAGGATCTAAAGTGATTGAAATGATCTAACATGTTTTAAATGATCGAAACCATCTGAACCTCTACCGTTTCTCTAAATGATATACATCGATATACACATTCTAACAGATTCTAACATTCTGTTTAACGAAGTCACCGTGTGCTGCGATTTTCGTCAGTGTCCCCAGTGACCTCGGCACCGATGCACATGGCTTCACGGAAGCTGGAGGCGCCCACGGGCAGAATCATAAACTCCTCAGCTCTCACGGAAGCTGCACTAAGCCATGTAAGCCGCCCAAATCTAAGAGGAAAACTCCAAAAAATCTCTAAAAACACGCGGAATAAGAGTTTGATGAGAGTCTTAAGAGTTTGATGTGAGTTTGATCTTGAGGAATGATGATGTGAAATGATGATGTGAAATGATGTTTATGGGTTTATGGGAGAAGCCAACACTACTGGTAACAACTTTTGGGAGATTTGAAACCAACAAAATGAGGTGAACCGTACTGGACATGGGTACTTAAACCAAGCAAATTCCATCAACAACATGTTGGCAAAACAAACCATGGTGATGCAATACAATCTTGGGCGGATAACTAGTGACTGGTAGTGACATGTTATTTAAATATATTTAAATTACAACGCATAATCATTCTGTTAAGGACTTGCTAACTGCGACCATGCAGGTGGTGCACCTGGCACGCCAGACGATTTCCAGCATGGCTACCTCCGTTGATGACCTCAGGAGTCACACTCCTACAGTGCGGTCAGGGTACATGTGAGTCATGTGACCCAGGAAATGCAAGATTTCAGCAGATTTCACATGATTTCACTACATTTATGTAACTTAAATCTGATTTAGTTTGTGTGTTCGGATTGAACACCTGCCATGGTGAAGTGGATTTCCAAGGATGATGTGGCTGCACAAAAACTACCGGGTAGGTTAACTTTCCAGGTACACTGTTGTGGAAGCATGTTGGGAATGTTCAGCAAGAAAACTGGGTCTCCACCTTTATCACAACCACTTACAACTTAAAACTTAGAAGAGCATCACCCTTAGCAACTGTTAGTCACCATGGCTAGGTCCTGCAAGTGATTCAAGCCCCCAAGATCTTCAAGAGTTGCACGGAGTTACATTCAATTGCCGTGCCTCATCATTGGGGGATATGATGTGCGTAAAATGCCACATGAGCCAAATTATAGCATACTAATGCATACTAATGCATACTATAGATTTATCGCATATTGCCTTGATTTCCAACCATGCCCCAGCATCGGATCATCCAACAACCCCAACCATTGGGCGATCCCTTGTCAACTTGTGCCACCGGACGTTGAAGGATGGCACGGGCATCACGAAGCTGTCGTATGGTTTGCCGGAGATCCTGAGTCGAGGATCATTCTCCCAGAGCTGGAAAACACCAACATGTTTGAAACATTTTGTGAAAGATTTTGAAACCAACCAGTCTTTTCCAGCAATGTGGCTAAAAAAGAAAAGACAAGGGCACCAAGACCCACAAAATATTGATGATGGATGAGGCACGATGAGGTTATCTCTGGCAACTTTGACTTTCACTTGATGTGGCCATGGCTTTCCCCAGCCTCGCGATGTACTTGTAAAGTGGCATTCTGCTAGCAGCAGCGCCTGCGTATGGGATCGACAGGGGTCTGGTTCTGCCAGGCTTTGTGAACGACCCTGTCGACTGGTTCAACCCCCGTGGTTGGATCAACCAGTTTTATTTTAGGTTTCTCAATAGCCATTTGATCACCCGAGTCTCGCGCCTGCTCGGCAAACAGCCATAGACACAGCCTCAAAACACACATGGAACACGTGTGGCCAAAGATGGGCATTGAAAGTAAGCAAAAGACCAACTGGCGAGATACTTTGATGATGATATCTGCTTTGCGCAGGTCTCCTCTGTTTCCGTTTCCCTCGCACCTTGCAACTTTTCCTTCTCGGGGTTGTGCTCGGCTTGAGTTAGAAAAAGCAGCTACAGAAAATCGGCAAATGTGAAATCTGCAGCAAGTCAAAATGCCTGACAGGTATGGTCAAAATGGAATGCATTCTGCACTCCTCCCTTGGGATATCGTGAGGTCATCCCAAGATTCAGGCTCAAGCTGCTTCTATTGTGCAAATAAAAGGAAAAAGATCTAACCTGCGCTCTCACCACATCCTGGGCATGCTGGAAACATCTTTTCTGGATCGCAGCGTGGGCATCTTGAATCCACGTGATAATCTCCACCCCAGTGATCAATCCAAAGTGGAACTCCTGGTGGTGGGGGTCCACGCGTTTGAGCGGTAATGGCCCAGCAAATGCGACACCAGGCAGATTCTCGATTGGCTCCTGTCTGGACAGACGACAGGTACCTGCACTGGCTCTGATAGTGATAAACTCGGCCATACCGAGTGGTCAAAACTTGGAAAGCTGCTCTAGCTCTTTCCTTGCTGTTCTCATAGTTCTGGAATCTTTCTGGATTTCTCTGTGCTTCCTCGTAGAGGTTGGTTTCTTCATCTGCTATCTCCTGCATGACTCGATCCAAGTCGAACCCAGGGATGTGGCGCTCATCTAATGGACGATACGGAGTGTCCTCTGATGAAGAGGTTGAATCTTCAAGTGGCGAAGAAGACCCTTCGCCTGGTGGGAGGTACGTGGGTCGCTGCGGCGTGTGATCTGCCACAGCGGCCATCCCTTCACCACCCGGTGGGAGGTACGTGGGTCGCTGTGACAGTTGTCCTGCCACAGCGGCCATCCCTTCACCACCATTTTCCTTTTCTTCTTCTTCTCTTTGAGCAGCAGCACCTGCAGGGAGACTTCGGGAAGACGATCCAGCTTGGTTTGACCAAGACATTTCCAGCCTCCTTACTCCTACCTTCCACAAATGCTGGCTCACGATCGTGAGAAGCACGATGATCAACGCAAAAACGACCATCATGACTTTGAGCTCGAGGGTTGAATTTTCCTGATCTTCTTTTTCTGTTTCTTCATATTCTCCTTTGGCAGCTGAGATCGCAGCAGCCAATGTGAGCAGCTTCAATGCTGCTGCTGCTTTCTGAATGCCTACGCCTTCTCCTTTTTCTTCAAAAACCTTCTCTTCTTTCTTCTCATGCTCTTTCGGTTGTGGTACTTGAACCAGGTTCATCTCCTTCTTCAAGTACCTGATTCTTTCTGAAGCTAATGGCTTGGTGCCAATGTCAGCGATCATTTGATTTCCCGCGACATGTTGAAGAAACCAGGTGCCCTGCAAGATTGAACTCCTGGCAGCTGATGCTCTCAGTCGCAAATGACGTGTGCGCCATGATCCTCCGTCAATGGTCAAAATTGATTGGGCAGACTGAGAATCTGTCCAAGATTTTCGCTGCAGAGGGCCAAACAGCTCATCAGCTATGGCACCAATTGATTCTCCAGCCACCATGCTCTCCACAATCTCCATCATCTCCGCTTCTGCTGTGCTGAGCGTCACAAAACTTTGACGACCACTTCGCCAAAAAACAGGGCAAGAAGCTACCATGATGATGAAGGCTCCGTGGCTGACATCTCCTTCAGGTGCAAAACTGGCGTCTGACATGGCCTCAATCATCAAGGTCTCTGCTCCAGCAGCATCAAAGCAGATGCCTTCATCCATAGTGCTTTTGAGATACCCCTTGATCTGCTGGTAGATCTGGAGGACCTTCTGAGGGGCCTTCGTGACGCAAGAGCCCATCTTTGAAACGGCATACATGAGGTCCAAGCGGGTGCGTGTCACCAGCCAGAGCATCTCACCGGTGGCTTTCTGAGCTGAACGAATCAGCTCTGGTGTTCTTCCTTCTTCCTCTGGAAGTTGACTCTGATCTTTTGTGATTGGGATCTTTCTGTCTGGAGCTTCTTGATCTTGCGCAAGAAGGTCCTTGATGTAGGACTGTTGGTTGACATACCAAACGTCGCGATTCTTGGTGACATCAAAGGTCTTTGAGATCTCGACGCCTAGGAATCGTATAGGCTTTTCTCCTACTTGATCTGGTTCTGAGGTGGTCCAGATAGTTCTGACCTTTTCCATGACGGCATCTACCACCTTTCGACTTCCAGTGACCAAGATGTCATCGACATATGTCATCAAGAGCCCTTTCAATGGCAGCGGAGCAAAGTTCGACTGAGTGTCAGACTCAGCTTCACTCTCCTCAGCTTCAATCCTCCACAAGTTTGGCTCTGATGCCAGAGGGCAGAGTCGGAGTGATGTCATCTGACCTTCTTCCTCCTCCACTTCCAGTTTCATGACTTCCAATTCATCATCTCTGCAATCACCCCAGAGCTTTGGTGATCGGCGAAGTCCATAGACCGCGCGCTTGGGCATGTAGTATGTTCCTGGCTTCATGTACTTCTTTTCCAAAAGCAGCATAGGAGGTTTGACCAGCAACAAGCTTGGCTGGTCTTCAGGGCACATGGTGGCATTCAGGAAGGCTGTTTTGATGTCAATGGTCCCAGCCTCCCATTGGAATTTTGATGCCGCAACGATCAGAAGGCGCAGTGCAGAGGCATCTGCACCAGAGCTAAACGTGTTCTCTCCCTCTTTGACCTGCTCGAAGTTTCCACAGATGACCCATCGAATCTTGTTGCGGCCACCTCTTTTTCCTGGCTTCTTTGTGCAGACCAACTTTGATGGGAGAAACTCCACTGGTATGCCCCTTTTTTCTGCATCCTTCAAGAGCTCCTCCAACCTTTCTCCACTTACCTCCTCGAAGGCTTCCTTCTCTTCTAACAGTGACGTGACTTCAGCATCCACTGCCGGAAGCCAATCATTCCAGTTCTTTGAGACCTCAAGAAGGGAGATGATTTTCGTTTGGAGGACTTCATCATCTTCGCCCTTCTCTTGAGAGTCAAGCATCTTTTTGAGCTTGGCCAAGATGTCAATCTCTTCTGTGATCATTTCAGGAGAATCATCCAACATCGCCTTAGTCTCCTCCTCGACCATTCTTGTAAACCTGTTCCTCATCTTTGCCAATCTCACAGCCTCATCCTCACCTTCTTCTTTCTCCTCCATTTTCAACCTACGCACTGTAGTCTTTTCTCGAAGCCTTCGTCTTTTTGTGAGAGCATCCAAGACCTCCCTTTCGATGGCTAGCCACACTCCTTCTTCAGGTCGTTCTATGGCTTTCTGCATGTAGCATCGAGTGACTCTCGGTGCTTCATCGTTCACCTTGATCCAATGGCCATTGTCCTCGGGTGCAGGTCCGAGGTATCTTGCAACTTCCACCATAGGCTCAAACGCCTGTTTCTTCCACCTCCTCCTCCTCACCAAGACTTCTTGAAGAAAGCGGGGGAACTCTGGCTTCTTATCCAGCCTTTGGCACCTGTAGATCTCGTTCAGGTATCGAAGTGCCCAAGGCCACCATGAAGAGTCTACTCCTGCATGAAGTAGAATCCTTCTCAGCTGGTTTTTCACTGACTTGACCGTAACCTCAGCACGGCCGTTGGCCTTTGGATCATCGCCCGATGTTCTTGTCAAAAGAATGCCTCGAGACCTCATCCATGTTTCAAATGACCCAAGGAATTCGTGGCCTCTGTCGCTGTGGATACGATTCACATGATATCCATCAATCTTCAGTTTGAGAACCATCTCCATCGCTACTCTTGTGACTTCCCTCGCCTTCTTTGACCTCAGAGGGAGCGCCATCTTGAAGACTCTGATTTCATAGTCTTTATCTTCGCTTTGAGGACCATCTTCTGCTTCTTGTTGACCATCTTGATCTTTATCTCCTCTTTCTTTCTCTTCTTCTCCTCCTGAATCTTCAAGACGGGACTCCTCAGGAAGTTCTGCACCTCTTGGCAAGAGGCCATCAGGAGGCTGTTCATCAGCTTCCTGGTCATCACCTTCAGGCTCCTCGGCAAAAAGATCAAGCACTGGTGCCTCTTCAAGACCACCTTCTTCTTCGGGTTGACCTATCATCTTTTCTGTGCCCTTTGGAACCATGTATGTGTAAGCACCAGCCAAAAAATATCGACACTTCCAGCCACCAACATCGCTACTTCCAGCCACCAACATCGCTTGATGGTAAAAGAGGCCCACATGTGTCAAGAGCAAGAACTCCTGTTTGTGGATGTTTGTTTCGTCGATGAGGAAGGATCTGTTGGGAGGATTGCAGGCAAACAGGACAGTCACGGCGATATGGAACATGACCGAAAGCAACATGCTCTTCATAGGTGAGAGCCCTGAGTTGCGGTGTCCCCTTGAACACCTGAGTTATGACCGCTTCGCTGACAGCGTTCATCAGTCCAGGTGCCCATCTTTCCAACTGTTTTGAGCTTTCCACAGGTTGCGCAGGTAGAAGAGGACCCATCTTGTGATCCTCCAAGCACAAATCAAACGTAGTGCCCAAAGTGGTGGGTTTTGTTGCCATACCTCCAAGACATCCCTGATTGAAAGTGACCTCCTTCAACTGAAACTCCTTTCTCAAATCATGCCACTCAGTGGTGTCCCAAAACGACACAGCTGCAGGTTGATAAGTCTTTGGAGATGCAGGTTGTTCCAACGCAAAGTGAACAGGATCTGGTCGCAACTGTGCCTTGCGGACATACTCTGAAATCATGTACAAGAAAATCATTCGCCAAAGAAGAGTGTCATCTTCTTGAATCATCTTTTCTTCTTTCTTGTTGATCCAGTGTGCTCCAAATTCCCCTCCCTCCCAGCAACGCACTGGACGGGGGGCCCATGGTTGGCCTTCAATTGGTCGATGTCGGAGCACACTTCGACTTCTGCAGTTCGGGCCACCCAAGACAGCCAGAATCTTTCCTGAAAGCGCAGCTCGCAAGAGAGTGGCATAGATCCCTTCGTCAGCAAGCATATCATACGCTTGCCCCTTCTTTACATCCACTTCCAAAAGCCTCCTTGTCTTACTGCCTTGACACCTCATAGATCGCTGAAGTGTGTGACCTGAGTCCTCTCCAGAGTACAAGTGCAGTGCAAATCCCTCAGTTTTCAACGTTCGTCGCTGACGTCGATTCAAAGGCAAAGATTCCCATTCTCCCGGCTGGACCACAAGCTTCTTTTGGAGCCAGTCAGGAAGACAAGACAAAACTGGGTGAGCTTGTAGAAGCCTTCTCATCCATCCAAGCTCTTCTTCTATGTCTAGGCGATTCAATGAGACGCCTTTGTTGCAGTCTTCGATCTCAGAGATTAGCTCCAATGCCAACTTCCTTGGAATCTGTGGACAACCTCCACAGTCTTCAACTGGTAAAAGACCTCGGATTGGATGTTGGACTTGAAGAGCTCCCTTCGACCACGACACCACACAGCCTAGGGCATCGATCAAAGAACCCATAGGCACAATCGGCTCAATGTTCTGGTCTGAGGTGATCATGGAGCCACCTGGGGACATGTGCAACTGAATGGACTTGCCATCTGCCAAAGTGACAGAAACTTCTTTCAACTTGTGGGTGTCCTCTTCTTCTCTTGATGGACGCAACGCATGAGTGGCCCCACTGTCAATGAGACCTCGACCCAGACCAGCGCCAATGCGCCCAAGCTTGAAGACCTTCAGGGAATTGAGCTGAGCCTGAAGGCGTGACAGCATTTCACTTCGGCTGTCTTCATCTCTGTTTGATGCCGAAGAGGAATTGGGAGATGAAGTCGAGTGAGATGTGAGTGATCTGAGCATCTTGTTGGCTTCTTCAATCAGCCCCTTCATCGTCTCAGACTCTTCCTTTGTCTCCTCACCTGTCTTTACTTCACCTGTCTTCACTCCTTCTTCAACTTTTGCGCCCTTCTGCTTCGGAGGCGATCCCTCACCTGTTCCCTTTCGTGGACATGCAGGAGCCAAGTGTTCTTCCGCACCACAGACGTAGCATCGCCTTTTTCCGTCTTTTTCAGTGTGAGAGAACTTGCAATCACGGCCCTTTCTGCAGCCTTCTGGAGTCAGGTAGAACTTGCACTTGACAACCTTCTGACGTTCTCCTCTATCTTCTTCTGCTGTCTTCTCTCTACCTTTACCTTTTCCTTTTGCATCCTCCTTCTCATACTCCATCATCTTCACTTTCGGTTCAACCTTGGCGTTGTTGGGGACGGTCTTCTTCTCCATTTGCGACAACTGCTCGCACTCAGAGAGGAGGTGCATTGCAAACTGCGTCACACTCTCCAAGGTCGGCACCGTATCTATGCCTAACCCATGACGTGCAAGCGACACTCGAAATTGTAGTTCTCGATTTGTTTCCAAAACCTTCTTTGTCATCCTCAAAAGCCCACGAACAAGAAGAGCAGGATCAGGCGTGATCGCTCCGATTTCGGTGGCCCTCTGACGCCACCTGATCCACTTTCTCAAAGCCATTGGAGCATCTCCCAATGTTTGGACTTCCGCAGGATCCTCAAGGTTTTTCAGGAGGTTCTGTTTTTCGGAGATACCACCTGGACAGTAGATCACATAGAGGTGTGTGATGATGGAGAACACACTCATCCTTCTGGTGGACACAAGCTCTTCACGAACTTGTTCAGGCATCGCTTGAAGCATCATCGTGGACATGCGTCGCTCCAATCGCTGCCATTTTTCCTGTGTCAAAGAAGGTGGAGTTCCATGTCCATGTTGGAGACGTTCAAGAGGTGACATCTTCATATGAGACTGATACCAACCCTCGGCCTCTTTGAGAAGGGTCTTCCACCAGGTTTCAGCAGTTGCAGTCAAATCTGAAACCACCGGTTCGATGAGCAGCAGCCAATCGCTCAATTGAAGTGGCGATTGATTCGACGACCAAGCAGGCAAAGGAGGTAATTCTTGAGCACCAGATCGAACTACCTCAATCCCTCTGATTGATCCTCCTTCTTCTCGGTCATCTTGATACTTGCGCTGCAGCTCTTTCATATTTTCCATCATCAGACACATAAACTCAAGTGACTTTTCTGTAAATCCAGCAGCTCCTGTCTCGGCTGATGGACGTTCTCCTCCTGGTTGTTGTGCTTCACCAGACATTCCTTCAGGGGGTCTAGCGGCCTCCTTTGGTGCACTTGCTGGGGGTCTTGCAGCCTCCTTCTGAGCGCTTTCTGGGGGTCTTGCAGCCTCCTTCTGAACGCTTTCTGGGGGTCTTGCAGCCTCCTTCAGAACGCTTTCTGGGGGTCTTGCAGCCTCCTTTGAACCATCACTTCCATTTGGCGTGGAAAAAGACAAATCAACTTCGGGAACAGCAAACCCTGTTTCCAACGCATGAATCCTGTGTTTCAATTCCTCATTCTGATTTATCAATTCCTTCATATATGCCCTCATGGTGGACATCTCATGAGATTCAGCCGACATTCTGGCTTCTTCGGCTTCCAAAAACGAAGGTCTCCTAAAAGCTGGAAAAAAGGACCGGGCTGGTTGATCTCCGTACAACCATGGTGTCCTACTCTGCAGCATGACCATGTCTCTAACTTGCTCTTCGGTGAACAAAGGTGTGTGCATGACATCCGGAGTGGCTGATCCCTGATTTGGAACCCCGGCTGAGTTTTGATGCGGGGTCATCTCCTCCACTTTCTTGTTCATGTCAACTACTCCAGGTGTCATTGCCATCGCGGTAAGACCAGCAGAAGACTTCTCACTTCGTTCTTTCTGAGGATTCGCGCTCCTAGGCTGAGCAGCGAGAGAGGATGCTGACTCACTTCGTTCTTTCTGAGGATTCGCGCTCCTAGGCTGAGCAGCGAGAGAGGATGCTGACTCACTTCGTTCTTTCTGAGGATTCGCGCTCCTAGGCTGAGCAGCGAGAGAGGATGCTGACCCTGGCTCGGCGGGTGTGATGGCGGCAGGGGAAGTTCGTGGTGGCAAAGGACTGGTCTTACCTTCCTCATCTCTTTCTTTTGTTGGGAGACTTTTTGGGGCACCTTCCAGCTTCACCTTCTCTACTTCCTCTACCTTTCCATCACCTTGAACATCTTCTAAGGGCAGTTCACCTCCTTCATTCGCCTCTTTCTCAAACCTTTCTTGTGCTAACCTCATCTCTTCTTGACCTTGTTGCATCTCTTTCGGAGTCGCTTTTCTTCTCATCTGAACTTGCATGGTTCGCCCTTGGGCTCATAACCTGCTTTGCGCAGGTCTCCTCTGTTTCCGTTTCCCTCGCACCTTGCAACTTTTCCTTCTCGGGGTTGTGCTCGGCTTGAGTTAGAAAAAGCAGCTACAGAAAATCGGCAAATGTGAAATCTGCAGCAAGTCAAAATGCCTGACAGGTATGGTCAAAATGGAATGCATTCTGCAATATCAATAAACAAATGTTGATGTGAAGATCATGTTTGGGTGGTTCTACGCCGTTGGTGGTCATTGCACCTAATGTCTGTTTGCTTCTCAAGGATATCCTCATGTATATCTCGATGCTGGCTGGACTACATTAGATGCCCTGCCAGATTTGTGAGCATAAACTCCTTACTCTTGTGGGCAACATTCACATTTCATTTTGTGTTTGTAGCTAGGGCATATCCCACAAAAAAAACAAACTTGATGGAACAATTAAAGTGTTCAGTTTTTTCACCCTGAAATTGTCCACACTTTTCCCATCTTCAAAGCTATTCTGATTGAAAACACAGCCAGGGCAGCCAGGGCAGCCAGGGCACCAGGATGGCATTGGCGCCCAACTTGGCCTTGGACCAGCCCCACTCGTTCTGGGAGCCATCCTGGTGCAGGACAGCTGGCAGATTTTGATTCAGGGGGGATTTCATTGAAACTTCATGTTTGACAAAAAATCTCAAAAATTATAAAAAATTGCAAATTCATTTCAAGATTTTACTTTGTCAAAAATGGATTTGACAGTGAACAGTCTCCTATGGTATCTGGCCATGAATGAGTATGTGATATACGCCAAGTGGCCAAGCTTTCCACCATCATTTTGTCGATCTCCGTCTGCTTGGTCACCTGTTTTTTTGGTGAAAACCCTTGGCATCCAACAGATTCCAACAGCAATTGGCAGCATGGCATCCAACCTGTCAATACATGTCAATACATGTCAATACCACAATCTGGACAGATAGATTCAGTATATCCAACAATGGGTGCGACTGACGAATATAGGGGATTCAAGCATTGGACATGGAGATATGTTTTCTTTGGGGCCAATCTGGCTGAATTGTGTTGGACCCACATCCATATCATATTTAAAAAGACGTGTTCTCTAGCTAACCAAGCTGGAAGTGAGCATCTACTGATTTTTGGATAGGTTTTAGGATGGGAACAGGGTTCTTGATGTTCTTGACTCCTTTTCTATTTACCAAATGCTTCTCATACACGACCTGATAGCTGGCGTGTGTAGCCACTGACTTGGCACATCGCTGTGTTGGCCATCCAAGATGTCGCAACCATGCCTCCATGCCAATCAATTTGGGTGCGATGATGTCATTGACGTTTGCCACTGCCTTTGGATGGTTGTGTGGTGGGCTTCCAGGATTTCACCGATCAAAATAGCTATGCAGCTATTCTCATGAGGAGAGATTGATAAATCCAAAAACATGGATATCAGGGATCAAACACTATCACATTCAAAAACGAACAAACATCATGACTCTCAACCAACTATTTACAAGGGACTACTCTTCGGTATGGACCAACTAGCCGAACAATATCAAACTGGTTCCTCCCCCCGTTTCCTTTGCATAACCACAAACAATCATTCCCTGCCGCTGTGCTCCGCCTGCAACACACCTTTGCCCAGCAATCGCTTCTCGCCATCACGAAGCTCTAGAGCTTCGTAGATGCCTCCGTGGATCACCATTAAGGTCAGTGACACATGTCCCAAACAGCACTGTCCCAGGAATACATGGGACAGTTGCCAATCCCCTTTCATGAGCATTGCAGTTGAGACATGTTGGGAATGAGGATTTGACCAACACACAAACACACCCACCCACGCACACAAAAGTGTCCAAGCGAGAAATTGTGGGACTGTTAAAACGATCATGGAGCCCATGGAGCTACGCAATCCACATGTGGCTTCATCCAAGTGATGAGGTTATTACCCGAGTTTCGGGCTTGCCGACCAAATTTATTGAGCTGACCACCTGCCGCGCTCTTGGGTTCATGCCAAGTAGGACCCCTCCTGAAGTTACCTATTTCGCAACAATGGACTCCTGGACTCGACCTATCATTATAATTATAATTCATTACCTTTTTTATATGGTTAGTCGTCAAGAAACGTGCTAACTTCCTGAGCTTGCAACAGGACGGTCCAAGACGAATCTAATCAATGACCCACCCGTTGCGCGTCAACCCCAAAAACGTCCATGCGGTCTTTTCCACGAAGTAGCGCGCCGGGATTGTTTCGGAAGGTTTTCAGACCTCTTGGAGGTCTCTGATCTGGGTAGGGTCAAAGTTGGCATTGATTAGATGGCATTGATGGCGTTCGTGTGCAAAGCTCTCGGACGAATCTCGACCCACACCCACCTAAATGGCTGGTTCCAATTGGAATCCGGGCTGTTCAAATGGCGGACCTGCAAGTCCAAACAGCATATTGGCACGGGGTCTCCAAAGTGGGAACCCCAAAAGTCATCCACCGATTGATGGTTTGAGAGTTGGGAAATCCATGAGGCATCCCCAATTCTTAAAGAAATCAAAGTATGTATTGTCACACAGACAACATCAGACAAATATGGAAAACAACTTTGCTGTAGCCATTCTTAGCCAATCTTTGGGCCATCTGGCAACGGTTGCGGGGGAACGAAGGGCTCAGGCAGCTGCTTGGGCGTCAAATAGATCTTGCGCACCTGATCCTTCTGTGCTCCGCAATCTTTGTCGGGGCAACACTGCCTCAGTGGATTGGGATGTGAACCGCCCAAGTAGGCTGTATCAATCCGAATTTTTGGATATTCTGGGAGTATGGCAGGTAAACCTCCTTGAATCGGGGCCAAGGTGAAGACATCAGCGTGCCAAGTAGATCCAAATGGGATGCTCACAACTTCATCGGACACCCAACTCCTGAATGACTGACTCATTCAAAAGCACAATTCGTAAATGCTTAGAAATCTTGATAAATACTAGATCAGCAACTTAACGCTTCGGTTTCTCATTTTCCCATATCTTCCCTAGTGAACATTCATGTGAATTCATGTCACAATGTGTCTGGATTTCTGATTTCTGGATATTTCCCGCCCAGGTGCGTGCACTTGGGATCTGTGTGGGTGGCCTGCTTGGCCAACCAGCGGAGGCCACACGCAGTGCATTCCTCCACCGGCGCATAGGGCTCCTCATTGTTGGCGTAAACGCGATGCCACGGCTCACCTAGACAGGTGAGATAGGGCTCCTGTGGTACAAAAATAGATACAATGATGACATTTGATATAATTTGATATCATATGATATATATATATAGTATATGATATACTGTGTATATATATATATATATCATATAGTATCAATATGTATCAATTGATATCATGAGAACTTTCATGACCTTCATGGAGATTCAAGGACAACCCCAAAACAGCCCCAAACAAAGGGACAGTTTTGGGCCAGTTTAATGGGCCGGACCGCCTTTAGATCTTAACGCTTGAAAAACATTCGGTGTGCGCCAAGGGGTTTGCCCGGCAATGCAGTTCCCTTTTTGATATCCTGGACCATTCAGGAACCGAAGTGTAGGAAGCAAACAAAGTCTGATTGTCTGGTAGGTTCATGGACACCGAACCTAACCGAACCGTGGCATTGCTGAGAGATATGTCCAACCAAATAGTGGACAGAACGAACAATAATGTTGGCTAAGAGGTGCTAACAGCTGCTATTCTCATCCTAATGGTCCTCAGAATGGTCCTCTTTGGAGCTTTCTACCCGTAACATGTTGGCCAATTGGCTATATTTGGCCATCCCCTCTTGGGGTATGAGAATTTTCACCTTCATCAAAGCATCTTTTTGTATCTTTTTGTTGAGTATTCCAGGGCATGCTTTCACCTTGCAGGAGCCATTTGCTCTGCAAGCCAACTGGTTCGGGTTAAAACTGCTCAACCTTGAGATCTCCTTCCCATTCAAGCGCAATCCGTCCGATTCATTGCATTCCAAGTCACGTTTGGACCATTTCCATAAACACCACAGATAGATATTCCAGGCGACCCAGGCCAAACTCAAGAACACTCCCGCCATCATGTCCTCACCCAGGAGCTTTGGATGCCCCAGATGCCAAAACCCGAACTGTTCAGTTTCCATACTGTCACAGTACCCTGAATAGAAATGGTTGTTTTGTGTTGTTTTGTTGTTTGGGGTATGGGCCGGGAAGATTCTAATGTAGCAAATCAATGTAAAGAGGATTAACAAGGCACCTAAATTTGACGGATTCTATCAAAGACTGGCTCATGGCTTGATGATGCTTAATGCTTGATGTAGGTACGGTTTCTTAGATTTTCTTCCCTTATCGCCGCATTCCACATTGCCAGGTACCAGGATTGTCTTCATTACACACAAAATGTGGATTTGATGGGCTTGGCGCACCAATCTCAGTAGATAAATACACTATGGCTATGACCCGTTGGTTCTTGCCCCATGTTGCGCCCCAAATTGCAGAGTTAATGACTTAGAATGATCGGATTTGCGGTTGTGCTTTGGTCTTCTCTCCGAGTCCAGTCTCTGCATTGCGTGCCATATGCCGATTGTAGTCTGGATCCCATACATGATTATGTTCTGCCATGTTCTGCCTGTACGTGTCGGCTCTATCCTCGTATGCATGTTCATTGCCAAAGCCATTCCATGTTCATTCTATACTTCCAATTTTGTTGGTCACCTTCCCATCTTTCTCATTCTTTCTCGGACAAGTCTCAAATGATGTCCCTACTTCTGGTGGTTATCTCAACCCACACTTGGTCATCACAGACTTTTGCATGTGATAACCCAGAGACTGGGAATTTATAATCACCATGCGAGTATTGCCAACAACATAGCCCATTTCTCGTGAGAAGACTGCAGTATCCTTTTTCAGTTTTTGCAGGTAAGCGAGGTTTTTGAATCAATACCGATATACACATGCGGTGGAAAACATTTCTTTTGTTCCACAAGATATGCAATGCGGCAATGCAAGTTAAAGAAAGGTGAGAGTCGTAATACTCCAAGAGATCTTGGTATTCCAATCGCTGTCTCCGCCGCAGCTTGGCCATCTTCGCGGACAACAATTCCTCATCGATGTCGCGGTCCATTTTTTCCTTGGTTTTTTTCAAAAACACTCGCGGACATTTCATACATTTCATCAACAAAAAAAGTTTTTACCCAAGTTGAATGGTGATTGGGATGATCTGTGAAGTTCGTCGGGTAGTTGGTGGGTGATGCCAAGCATAACTGGGATATACAGGATAGGTGCACCTGATGTGAAGATATGTGAAGATTGAGCAATGACCAAACTCTGCGGGCGACTCTGAATCTTTGACCCGCAGGGCTTTGACTGAACATCATAGGATGATATCATATGATATCATAATATCTTCCAACTCTTGTCAGGCTGATCGAGAGAGATGATAGGACCGGTAGGACCTTAGTCTCAGTGCACCGCTCCACTAGTAATCATTAAAATCAATTCCAGCCGTCGATAGCCGTCGCCTTGTGGTTAATTACTACGAATGGATCATGTTCCAACATGTTCCAACATGTTCCGCCCGGCATCGATCCGTGATCGCCAACATGTGCAAATCACGGTCTGGACGCAGATCAGAATGAGGAACCTCACAGGCTCATGGGTCATCCCTGGAGGACATCCCGAATCGGACATCCCAAATGACACCTTTGATGGACGTGGCCTAACTATGGCACCTCAATGTACCAACATGTGCCCTTCATCCAAGGCAATGGTTAAAGGACTGTTTGAAACAGGATCTGGAACTGTGGATGCTCTATTTGTTTGCCAACAGGTACCCACCCACAAATCCCACTACGTTCTGGTGGATTCTCTGGGCCATGTCACACGCATGCAAAGGTGATGTACTTGTCTGCTGCCGTCAAGTAGGCCTTGCGGGGCAGAATCTCGTTGATGATGTAGCGATATGCCAGAACCGCCAAGAAGCAGGAACTCACCTCGATGAATAGGGATTTTGAATGATTTTGATCTAAACATCAAGGGGAGATTCCCAAGAATCATGAGTATACAAAATGAGTATACAAAATGTTGCAAAAGCATCAATCCTAGGGGTATGAGCCAATCTGTGGTTATTCATGCTTAATCGTTCGGATCTGCAAGACTCTCGCCGGCTGGAAAACAATAATGCGAATTTTGAACGACCATTGATTCCTACAGTGCTGGACAAGTCAGCAAGTTTAGTTGGTTTGGACTCTTGGACAACTTGCACCAAAGACAAACTTCAAAATGGCTTGTCCTACCAGTGATGTCATGGATCCAAGCACTCCAATTTCGCCGATAATGGCCGTGTACTGCATCTCACCATGCCACGGACTTCAACCCACAGCAGTTTACCCGAAGTCTGTATGGGTCAACGGGCCCACCCACACAACATTTTGCTGTGGAAAATACAAAGTTTGTCAAACATGCATGTCCACACGTGCCGATGTTTGATGCTCATATACAACCTGCAAACCCTTCTTGGATCACCTCGCGTATGGTGGCAAACCTTCCGGATCTTGTCCACATACCTTGTAAATGGGATATGGGATATTCCTAGGCATTGCCATCAACATGGTAAGTATCCACGCATGTGATTTGTGGCTTGAGCACCCCTGTAGGTATAGATATAGCAAATAAAAGCAAATGGTAACATCTGTGGGTTTGTCAACTTAAATAAACGAGACGTACCGAAGAATGTCTTGGTCATACCAAAACCAGAGAGACATACACTCAACAACATCTAGGTCAAGTTCAACTCTTACCCCATACGCTTAATACCAAAACCCCATAAACATCCATAATATTCCATAATCCATATATATATATGTATATATATATATATCCATATGCCCCCAAAGTACCCCCTGTAATTTCCAATAAACTTCATCCAAGGTGCCAAGCCCAATCGCCCGCTGGCATCCTCCAGGGGAATGACGAAGGCGCAGAGGGCCATGACATTCACCTGAGCTGCGGCTGAAATCCGACAGCTGCACTCTGATGAAATTCGATAAACTACATCATGTTAAACTGTTACATCATTTTACCATATTTTACCAATGCACATATCATATAAAGCGATGTGGATTGGCATGAGAATAAGGATAATCAATTATATGTATATACTTCCTTCGCTGCTCACAACCAACTTGCACGTTCAACCCTTGTTCTTCAGGCCTTTGCTGCCAAGCCGCAAGAAAAACCATCATCAAGATGTTGTTGAAGTAGTAGTCACCCTTTCGGTCTAGGTGAAAGATTACATTCACCATCGATCTCTGATTGTAGAAAGGCAGCTCCTTGGACAAGGAGATTGGTGTACCAACAATTATGACAGCTAGGCTATGAATGATTCTTGGTGATACTTCACCACGTTGAACATGGACTCCCAGCATGGCCGTATCGATCTTTTTTTCCAAAATGCATCCCTTCAGGGTCCCATGGCAGATTTCAACAGGTACCAAACAAATCATTGAGATGTGACACAGAATGTTGCTCATCGTAGGCTCTTGTGGATGATGGGCGAACATCCAACAAAACAAATTTAAACACATGCAATTTGAAAGCGCTTTGGATATTCCCCACTCATAAATAGTTGAAACTTTGCATTCAATGCCACTGAAATGGCGACGATTGCACTTGCTCCTGGACACTGAGGGATATGAGGAGATATTTCGTGTTTCAAGTTTGTCGCATGACATCAAAATAAACCTTCTTCAGGTTCAAGCAAACCCTGTGTGAACTTCTCCAGGGATGAAACACGATGAAACACCAATTGTTTGGCACGTGAGATTCCTTTTTGTAGCGTTGCGCTTGTTGCGCTTGTTGCGCTTGTTGGTGCCCCCGACATATTTGTGAGGAAACAAGCAATGAATCACCAACGTTCCATCCAGGATTCATAGTCATTGTACCGGATGTACGAAGGACAGAGGCTCTGCATCTCCTTGTCCTGAGGCTGATGCAGGCTGATGCAGGTTGAAGCAGGTTGAAGCAGGTTGAAGCAGGTCAGCCCATGGTGAGGGGATGTCTGGACTCCAGGTGCAGTTGCCATTCTCATCTTCAGCCTACCTACCAGTAGACCCCTATGATATACAAAATCCTTGCCTGAGTATATCTGCTATGTACACACCTGCAGCTATGCCTGGGGGATTCATCAAAGGTTACAAGTAGGTCTTTGATTGCATGATCTTCACTGGGACAAAAGTTATCAAAATTGCCTTTCAGTTGCCATCGCGTGCCATTGCCATCAGAAACCTCCACGAGTCCCAAATTCCTGCAGTATTCTGACAAGGCCTTAATGATTTTATTGCAGCTCAAATCATTCCCAGGAGCTTCGGCATCCAAGTCCACCACAGATCACCAGAGGACCATTTGGCCGAGGAGGGTCATCATCCAGATTGAAAATTCTCTTTACATCTTTTCAGCATCTATAAATCAATTATTGCGGAGCCACAATTCTTTGTCCTATATCACCGATTTCAATCTACTTCTTTGGGTGTTATTCCCACTTTGGTCGGTCAAAATCCTCAGTGGTGCTGTCCCGGTTCATTTCACTCGGTTTGTGGTGCTCAAACTCTCCAAATCACCCAGAGTTCCCTGCAGCAAAGCCCAACGTGCCGAGCATCCACTATGAAGGTATCACAGTGTTGCTTCAAGTTACCTGGAAGCGTCCACAGAGAGAGCTTGGGGGATGATTTCCCTACAAAATTGGAATCGGATTGCCACACATAGGGATTTCCCACGCCAGATGAGAAAAGGAACCGCCAAGAATACGCTGTATGGCCTATATGACCACCAAAAAAATTGTCACTTTGAAAAAGTAGGGATCTCATGAACAAAAGTGGGGCATAGTGCCAACACTAATGGAGTGGTTGTCAACATCTTCCAAAAAATGATCCGAGTGCAGCTCCACTATGCTTCATTTGGGAACCTGCAACTTTCTGCCACATGGCGATGAGATTATTGTTGCATGGGACTGACTTGTTCCATCTTGTTCCTGTTGAACCCTGCACCCCTAGATTCGGTCCTTTATTCAATGCTGCAAGTCAAACAGTTTTCGATGTCTCGCTATTTTGCCGCACCTGTGTTGTCTTTCTTCAGGAGCACAAACTGACACTCCTGCGCTGCCCCGGAGAGTGTCAGACACAAGGATTTCCATCATTACACGGGGTCAAGGGAAGGCATTCCATACTTCACTTGGTCGGGAATATGATTTCATATGATTTCACATGATTTCACCAACATTCACAGGAAACCATGATTTCTATTGATTTCTTGTTTCAACGAAGCCAGAATTCCAACTGCCCCCAAACCAAACCCGGGAATACTTCCATGCAAGTATTCAACCACGTGGGCGAACCATCTGGAACTGGTAAGTGCACAATGGGCTTACACACAAAGAAACAGCATGTTGCTGATTAGATCGGGGTTGTTCTCACTAGCTGGGACAAACGCCTATGCACCAAACACAGGTAACTTGATCGCCTTGTAAACTACCGACGTATGAGTAAGTAGCTTATCACGGCAAAGCAGAAAGAGTGAATAACACATCGCAGAAAGAGACACCCAGACAGAAATCAGAATGACCATGGCACAGTGTGGGGATACTTGCATTTTAAAATATATATAGCTTAAGAATGCTTAAGATAATATCATTTCATATCATTTAACAATATCCATTTCATTTATGGCGAATCAATTCGATCCATTCCCAATGTGTATATATATATATATGTCCTTGCATCCCCAGTACTTCTTGGACAATGCGCATTCCTGATATTTGTTTTGCTATTCCACTTTTCCATTTTGAGTCCTCGATGGTTTTTTCGGCCAAGATCTTAATTCGACAGAGCTGACGGTCCAAGGGAAAGTAATGTAATTCCAGACCTTGGCTCTGGTTGCCATGTGCTTGGTGTGGTAAGTGCATACCTACAGATGTCAATTGTCAATGGATGCTGTCCTCTTTTTAATTCCAACATGGGGGTACAAGATGGTACAAGCGAGAGAAGTGAGTAGTAAGATGTATAGTAAGTATAGAATAACCGTCCCAGAACATCCCAACTCTGTTCATCCTAAGAGGTGAACCACCTGTGATCACCCCTCAATATCCTCAATTCCTGGCGTCCTTTCACATCCGACGGGTTTTGATGAACCAGCTGGTCCCACTGCTAGTGTTGGCTAAAGCCACCCCCTTGGTTGATGAAACCCCTATCTTTCATGCTAATTACCCAATCTTTATCTATTTTGCTTATGATTTACCTATTGCCAGTCCGGTGATGGACCTATAAGCCCCCCAGCCCTCGCCAAAGCAACTCTCAGAGAAGGTCGCGTCGATCTTCTGCTCCCAAGAAACCTAACGTCGACTCTGGAGTCTTTGCTTTCCATTTTTGTTGATGTTTCTGGTGCGGAAATCTCCCTGTGTAGCTTAGCTCCACACCTTTCTCAAACCCAAACATTTGTTGATCAACCAAATCCATTTTCGCTTTTCAAAGACCAGGGCACCCAAAACAATTGGTTGACTGTTTATTTAATTTGGGAGCCGCATTTAGAGAACAATCCAATGCAACTAAGGGCGAATGGTTCTCAAGCTGACAACTTGGCAAAATGTGTGGTTGCCAGATGTTGCAATTCCTCATTCTGAACACCCCAACAAAAATACTTCCAAGATGCAAAAGTGCCGCGATGATCGCTCCACACGAAGTTGTAGCGAGGTGGCAGGATCACTGTGGCATCTCCTGTTTCCAACAACCGGAGCGTAGGTAAATTGGCCTCAATTCCATTCAATTCCCACCTGGAAATCCCACTATTTGCTGTAGCTGCACAAATGCGCCTTGCGCAAAAAATGCGTCGCAACACGCTTGGCTTTATTGATCTTACATGTTACAAAGCAATCTTGGGAATTCCAGTGACACCATGTGACACCTGAGTGACACCTGCAACAATAGATGCTGACATGTTTTGCGTGCGGTCCACACACTTGCATTGGCCACAAGCGGATCCCATCCAAGTCCTTGCATGTTGGTGAAGGTGTACTGGGGAAAGAAGCGATCCTCCATGTCGTCTTTTTCCACGATGGTTTTATCCCGGTACTGCCCTGGACGCAGCAACAGAGAAGAGACTCTCACAACTACTGGGTGACCTCCAGTCATGCGGTGAATCACTCAACAGGTTATATACTTACTTTGATTTCGAACAAACATATGTGGCCATTCATCACAACGTTTGAGGGTAATGGTAATATAATCTCTATCTATATACAATGTTCTGATACATGATCTTCTTTCCAGCAGCCTCCTATGACCGTTACCATGTTTTGTTCCATCTTACTTCCTTCACGTCCCAAAGATTCAAATTTGGCCCCTCTAAATTCTCTAAAATGGTCAAGTTCGATTCTTCCCCGGGGCCAACATTTCACCAACAGGGCGTCCAAAAATCCCAAACACAAGATTTTAGGTTCCCAACATTTTCAGACAAAACCCAACTGGGCCGCCTTTTTTGAAGGTCTTCACCTCCCCTGAGGGCTTGCACTTCAACTTCAGGTCCCCATTCCCGGCCAGCTCCAAGAAAGTCCCGACTTCCTCAAGAAGCACTGGGGAAATAAGCCATGGCATTGGCGCAATGAATCACCGAGGCTCACGGATGCAACAAAAAATTGAACACTGTGGATGCTGTGGATGTGTGCCGATACACCAACCATATTTTAAAAAAATGGCATGATCGTTGGGATGATCATTCAGCTGCCGGCGTGAACACACGAACCGGGACCTGAAATTCACGACGACATAACGATGGCTTTGATTATAGGGGTCCTTCAAGTATGGGATTGTCTGTGGTGTATTAGGGTGCTTTACGTCCCAATTGGGAAATCCTAAATTCAGTAAATTCATGGGAGTGATACATACAAGAAAGTACGTCATGTACCCAGCTGAAAGCTGGTTTTCTGAACCCAACTGGGCCTTTGAAAAATTAATAGTTGAAGGATTATTTTTTAAAGTTGGGGGGTGGTCAGCGTCTCATACATACATAGCATGCATATAGTTATACATATGTATATATATATGCACGTATATATGTTATTATTATTATTATTATTATTAATAAGTATTATTATTATCATTGTTATTTAAGATTGCTTATATCCTTTTGTAGCGGTTGTAGCGATTAATACTAAGGCTTTTTTCCGGGTCATTGACTCAACTCCGCTTTCCAGCAGAGGCTCCTTGCTGCCATCGGACAGGGTAACGGAACCGGTGAGTTTCAGTTCAGGATCCAGCCACCAAAATTTCATCATCAAAATCACCTCAGCGTAGAGATATATGGCGCCCATCTATCCGCACAAATTGTGTCAAGATCTTCAAAATCCCATCAGGCTCAACGGCTTTGGTGATAGCAATATGTCACAATCTAACTGCTTGACTTCCAGTCCCTGCAAGTCTTTTGTCAGAAGCTCTGGAACGATTCTAAAGCCCTTGTAACCATCAAAATCGCTTGTGGGGTTGGAGGCATTGTAGAAACATGCCTGAACTGGGGCCCCAAGATGCCCCAAGGACATCCAAGGACATCATCTTTGTTGAAGCCAAATCCAAAGCCAACTTGGCTCCATCCTTTGACACATTCGAACTGGCACCTGGAAACATTCGTTCTGGTCATCAATGTGTTTCATCGCATGGGCGTTGATGTCCACATAGACTTTGCGACAGTTGGAGCAATCCTCAAAACGGGGACCAGGATGGCGCAGGGTCGTTTCGGGTCGCTCAGTTGTTGCAAAAAAAGCAAGGGATATAGAAATATATATAGAAGAATCAGACAAAACACATACACCTACAAGTAGAGAAACACTGATACTTCAATGACTTCAGTGCGGAAAGCTTTTCAAATGTAATTTGCCTGCAACATAGAATTGAAACCTTTGGCGAACCACATAACAATAAACCTGCAGTTGAGTGGTGGTTAGCTAACCTGTTCAAATGCTACTGGAACGTTGCCTGAGGCGATCCGTTCATTGCTAGTCATGCAGAGGTCGCTCAAGAATTGCTGAGCACTGTATTTACTGTGAAAGTCCTGCTTGGATCGAGGCTGATGGAAACGTGGATTCACACAATCAAACATCTGCATCTCTCCAATGTCTCATCCAATATCTCTTCCACCAAATCATGCAACCTACGATCTATTTTCTTTTCGCTCGTGAATTTCTTCACTGTGTTATTGTTGCTCTGTATTGCTGCGGTGGTTGTTGTCTTTGTTGGGGGTGGTGCTTCTGTTCTTGCAAAATCATACCAATTACCAAATTGGTGCTGTAGAGCTGTAGAGCCAGGTAAAACCACTGAAAATCAAATACTGTAGAACAAGTGAGCAATGGGCTTGTGCCCTTGGCACCATTGTATACCGGTATACCATGGTATACCATTGTTGCCTGCCGAACTATTGGTTTCCCAGATTTTGAGGGCTCCTGTAGATCCTCCCAAATACTTCGTGAGACCAGCGTCCACAAAGTGACGCTTCTTGGGATCGTTGCACAGTCTCCAAAAGCCAGTCAAGATGCCATCCCTGGTGGAATCCCGTAAAAAAGGTGGTGAAATGTGGTGAACATGCACAAGACTGGTGAATCTTCTCCGCTTAGTGAAACTCAAGTTTAACATGCATATTGCAGATCTCCGCGGTCTGGCTAATCTGGATGTTTCAAAGGAAGCCTTGCTTGTTTAAATCCAAATCTTCAAATTAATCAGAAGAATGGACTGGAAAATCTGTATGCGGAGCTTTGTGGCTTTTAGTTGTGGACAAACAGTAAGAGATGTCGCATGCCCAGGGTTGCCATGATCGGATACTGACTACTAGCATCACCATTACATCCGTTATTCTTGAAATCAAACATACACCATGATTTCCCAACATCTCCATTCCAATCCCATCCGGTTCACCAACCCTCATCTATCATTATCATTCATAAATGCCATCATATGTCATCATCCAACATCATCACCCCTTGGTTCGGCCTGTATCCTTCAGGCGCCAGTTGATCCTCTTCTCCCTCCGACGTCGACCACCCTTCGGGATCTTCACTGCACAGCACCGCGCGCGCCATGGCTATCCGTGCAATGCACGATGGGATCGGCGACCAGTGGCTGGACGCTTGCGGATGGTGGGTCTGGTGGGAGGGTGTAACATGGTGTGACCTGGAGATTAACACAAGGGTGTTCCTTCACTGTCCAATCCAAGAATCAATGAAAGGGGGTTGTGACGGTTATATACGGTTATGACATTCACGACAGCCATGAACATGACATTTGTTTACCAACACTCATATCCAGCATTTGCATACCAACATTCTAGAAAGACCTACCAACGATCAACAAACTACTGGATCCATGGCATCATGGGATATTTTGGTATCTTGGTTGAACCTGCAATCCACATTGCTACTCGAACGCTTGCCCAAACAATTTATGCTATTTATGTGACCATCACTGACCAAAGCAAAGTTGACTCCATAAATCTATATAAAATATATAAATCTATAGATCAACATCTCTAAATCTCATTAAATCTCTCTATCACCAGCCTTGGGCCATGTTCCAACCCCGGCGCCTGTGGACGCGCCACTAGGTACCGCAGCACGGAAGAGCGCTTGCTCGGTGCAGAGGTCCACCTCTACCGTTGGATTGCCACCTGGAAGAACGAGAGGCAACATCTGGTGAAACACAGTGAAACATCAACGAACTATATATAAGCTATTATAAACATGTAATAACAGTCAATGACATATATAAACTATATGTTGGAATATATTGCAACATGTTAGCTAAGTTGGCCAATATCCCCATCATGGTTATTTTCAGAAGATGCAGATCCGTATTTGAGGATTGATTCTACTGTGCTACCCTATTGAACTAAGATTTGTAGCAGTAACCTCTATGTTTATTACTGGTTGCTTGTATCCGTCCCTCGCATCTGTCCATTCCCTCTTCATCACGTAGTGCCCAAACCTGGTTAATCCAATCCAAGATCTCTCTCGGTCATTCAAACTTTGATGGTTGCTGGCATCCAAGTCGCGCTATCAATGCTGATTGATTTATCTTCTCAATTTTCTACTTGCACCTTTTGTTCCACTGCTTCATAAAACATATCGAGTGGTAGTAGTAGTATCCAACATTATTTATCCATATCTGTCCATCATACCACATAGATTCAACCTATCAAAATCTTAACTTTCCATCCAAAATGGATGGGCAAGTGGCGGGAGTCGAAGATCTCTCGGGCTCGAATCTGCACAATTTTGGCCATGTTCTCCTTGCCCGCTTTTGAGATGTCTACGCAATATATGTGTAAGTTATCACATACATATCATATACATAGTTACATATATATATATATATATTATATGTGTGTATATATATATTATATATATATATTATATACACAATATATAATTACACATGATAAATAAAAACTATACAATACCTGTGTGATATATGGTATATACATATATATAAATATAAGAATTCATCTGTGTGTGGGTGTGTTCGTTCGGAGTGTATCACATGGCTTCTATTTCCTGGCAGGATGATGTCTCTGGGGATGATCCAAAACCATGTCAACAAAATTATCACAAAAAACGCGGTCGCAATTTCATGTTCACCGTGGATTTATGCACATAAAAATGCATACAAAACGAGAACCAAGAGGTGTTTTTTTTGATGCGCAGAATGCACAGTAAAAAGCACATGCAGTCTGCCAAGCCACAGGACTATGCACTGGTAATCAACCGGCTGGAAAAAATGAGACATAATATGTACAGAGTGGAAACTTCCCACAATCTTCCAGACACAGGAACTTGTTTGGCAGCCCTGATACAGGCTAGTCCAAGATGTCCAAGGATAGATGACCTTACTACATGATCATACTATTACAATCTATTACAATCTATTACAATCTATTACAATCTATTACAATCTATTACAATCTATTACAATCTATAGCCCTGTGTGGATGCTGCCAAGATTCAGTCGGAAAAAGCCTCACACGACTTGATCGTGGCGTTTGGTAACTGAAATCTTTGCTGCGGTTCAAATATCTCATTCCTGGTCTCAAGGGTCACAGAAACCGATGATCCACACAAAGATGAATCAATTTTGCGACCAATAACCCAGCAACCAACTCTTGAAACGTTTCACGCATCCTCAAAACAAACTGATGTCACCAAGCATGCTATCAAAGATGACCAGCAAAGTCGCAAAATGACTGAAATATGTCTCTGCAAATGGATACATGATACACCCTAGAAACAATTCCAACAGTGGCAAAAAAAGAAAACACTCTTCAATCACGCCAGGATCAGCCTCCAAACAACCCACTGTTGATTTCATGTTCTAGTCACATAGAGTAAGCTTGGGGGCAATCATACCAAGAGATGAAAAACTATCAGATAGGCAAACATTGGACCAATGCCAAACAGTTGGAAAGTTCGAATTTCCCACAACTTCCAACTCCAAGTGCTGCGCCGTTTTACTTATTTTTCTCTTGGAAACGGGGTTTTGGCTGGTGGACTTGCTCGCGGATCCCAATCGGAGCGGCCCTGCCAGTTGGGGACCTTGGGCAGTTGAGTATTTTGGACCAAACAATCCTGGGAGTACTTGGTCAGTACTTGGTTAGCACTCGGTTAGTGCTTCGTTGTTCCGGAAATTCTGATCCTTAGATCTACTTAGGACTGTTGCAGCCCGACCCTCTCCATCCAAGGGAAAACCCTTGGACCAAGCGTGGGCTCCACAAGTCGTCCGAATGTCTTCAAAAAGTTTGGCAGCTCAAGTCACAATGGATCATCCCAGGCTGTTGTGATGATTGAAGCATAGATTGCATAGATATTATATGTTTGTTATATGATGTTATTATACAGTCTCTAGGTAAATCAAGGTGATTCCCAAGCCTCAATGCTTTGGGGAGACTTATTCCTCCTACCTAAGAATTCGGGCCAGGTTCTTGTCTGGTGATAGGTGGCATATCAAAGCAGCCAAAATCAAGAAATCAATAAGAAGAGTAATCGCAGGAAAAAAATCAACACGGACAGGTTGGGAGATGTTTTGGGGTTTAAGAAACATTCTTTTTGCATTGCATACCTGGCCAAAGATATCAACCATGTGATAGTCGACTTGAGTCACTTGAAAACTGGCAAAGCAAGGTGCATGTCGACCCAATCTTTTCAGACACACTGAACTGATGGATGAGCAACAAATCAACATGGAAAAACGCGAAAAAAAACATCCTGCTATGTTTGAGCCCCGAACTCATATAAATATAGCTTATTATGCGGACCCTCAGCTAGAGAGGGTCGCCCGGGTCTCCATTGAAGCTACTTGAACTGCTCTCAGGGGAACTTGCCGTGCTCTTCTAAAAACTTTCGCCTGGCCCGGATGCGGATTGACGGGATTATGTTGAGAGACCATAGAGGAAATCAGCAAGATAAAGTCAGAAACTGTATTGCTACTGGTATTTCTCTCTTTGCTATCTCTACTGTGTAGTGCGTGAAGATACATGAGGCTTCTTCTACTTGGGGGTTTTGAAGCACATTCACACCATTGTCAGCATACCAATGGTCGAATCACAGTCCAACTCATTTCTAGATATTTTTAGTACGTTGCCAAATGAGGTGGAGACCCCCCCAGGCTTTGAAGTGGTTTTGGTCCTTTTTTATCTGACGACCCCAACAGCTTCTGTTGTAAATGCATTTGTTTCGATCCCCATGAGAGACTTTATCATCTTGACCACTCACGAAACATGTCGTTGCACATTGGTTTGCTAGAATTCAAAGTCCAGAGAAACCCAACAAGGTCAATTTCACCCCGACCGACCTCAATTAAGAATAGACCATTGTAAACCAACCGAACTACACCTGACCATCTCAGTTGACCCGAACAATCCGCCATTGCAACTGCCATAGCAACCAACTTACACAGCCCACCAGCTCGACCCCTGATTGTCCCATGAATCGAACATGTTTGGTCGATTGAAATCCCCAACTTCTTCCAGCTGTAAGCGATAGGACATGGTGGAACTCAGCTACAACTTGAGGAATCGACAAATATGCCAAGTGACACGAATTCGCCTTCTCACCTTAGTCAAGGTTTCAGAATCGTCATCGGTCAGATTTTGATCTATGACCATCCCATCTCATCCAAGAGGCTCATCCAAGATGTGTCCACGTCCTGAAAGAGGGGAGATTGATTGGATTTCTATGATTCCTAGGTCATCGTTGGTCTGACATGTTCTTATATGTGTATGTGTATATATATATATGCAAACATATGTATATATGTATGTAGCATATGTCCGTATTTCTTTGGATACAAGCATGACATAGATGATTATCCCCCCGCCCGGACAAAAGTGGAACATTCGTTCACACATGTTCACACAAGATGATCAACAAATGGACCATTTCATACAGGACAAATATGTTGCAGGGCACCGTTCCTGGGATTTTCAGCTTGAATTTCCGGAGCTGGGGGGTTCCCTACAATAGTCGTTTTTGGTGGCGGCTTTGAAGCAAGGGTCATCCTAAGTCTGCCAGAAGTCTGGGACACAACTAGTGTGGCTCTCAGAAAACAACCAAAGTCTCGTCACTTCTCAGAAGCCACTCGTCATTCGTTCATGTTGATGATTTACTGCTTTCCACTTCCAAAACATCCTCAAATTATCATTCTCAAAATAAAAAACAGGAAAATGCCACAAAAACATACAAAAACCTTGGTAGTCGTCCCCTTTCAACCCCCCTCCCCGAGCTGTGCCAACATCTGCCAGGCTGGGTCTCCTTCCACCTCCTTGACGTGGAGACCAGGCAGGCGCCCAATGGCTCGATGCAAGGAGGGCTTCACATCACTCCTGCGGAGGAAAACACTGGTGTGATATGCTGTGATAGTAGAGAACACATGAGAACACATGAGAACACTACAAAACGAAACAAAATGCTGAATTAACCTTGCTGGGTTATGCACATGTAATTTGAAATCCACACATGGACGACTTCAACGAATGTTGAGCCGTTTGAACATGTTTGACCATGTTTGAAACATTTTTGAACCACGAACATCATTGGCCCCAATTTTCCCACGGCTCCTCCATGGAACTAATTCGTCATCGTCGGTGGCGCATTGCCTGGGCTGCAGGGCTTGGCTCCAGCGAGAAGACCCTGAAAATTATTGAAAATTGACGGGCAAAACATGGTGAGCTCTCACCAACATCGAAAGGTTTGGGGTGAAAACAAGGGATTCATCATTTTTGGCTGTTTTTCCCAATATAAAATATGGCCGTGTTGTCTTGATCTGATCTTTCCGGCACGGCCCCTGGAAAAAAAAAACACGGGAGGTTGAACCCTTCGTTCCAGCCCTTGACCTGTGCTGTGGTATATAATTAATCAGCCCTTTGTCCAGCTAAAAAAACACAGTGTTGGACCATGTTGGACCTACCAATCTGCTCCAAAAATGGTCCATGGTCCATGCTTGGGTGCCGCATGGAAAAGGATGGGAATGGGCATCCCGACAACCAAATGGGTCGATGTCGCTGTTGATGGCTGTTGATGATCCTCAGAAGCCATGAAGGCAAAACTAAGAAATTGTCAGCTGGAACTCCAGAATGGGTTGTATCATGTTGTATCACATGTTTTATCCAGAAGAACTATCTTCCAAAGCCTCACTCGGCGGCTCTATCTGCTGTCTGTTTCTTCGAGGCTCTTAACCCTTTTCTTCATGGCTTACATTTGTCATGTAGTTGAATATAAAATAATATAAATAAGATGAAATAAACATGTTAAAACATGTTGTTTAAATCAAAACATCAAGAAACACGTTTCATGAGGATCCCATCTCTGGTGATCAACACCTGGGGCTGGGACTTTTCGAGCGCCTGGCTGGCCCCTCGAAATCCTGCGGCTGGGTCTTGTTCCCTTTCAAACCATTTCAAACCTCGAATTTCTGTAGATCGCAACGGTCGCAACTGGCTCACTTGGACCAAAAAATGCGCAAGTCGAGCCCGCAATACACATGTCTTTTTGAAAACAGGGCCTGTAAAATTCACGAATGAGGAAAGACATGGAAAGACCTGTGAAGTTTAATGGTCCAAGCCCACTATTGGACCAGATCCAGTGACAAAACCCAGCAAAATCATCTCTGAGCGCCCAATGTTCAAATTGCAGATCTGATTTCGCCTGTGAGATGCAAACCAGCTGGAAGTAGTGGGCTTGACCAATATTGACTCATGATATCTCATGATCTTAATTTCAAGATTAAGACAGCTACCATAATATACCATAATCTTATACAAATGGTCCAACCACTGTCTTCTTCCAGATAGACTTAATTTTTGACGAATGTTCCCAACCATTTCCCAACCACTATCCAATTATATCCTATTCATTTTGATTTATACAGTTTATACACTACATCACTGTACATCACTACTATTCTTGCCATTGGGGATCCCCATGTCCAACCTGCGGTCCTTGTCTATCCGTGGGCATGAACCCAACAGATCCCACAAAGCCACCCAGGAGCAGTTTGCGGGCCTGGCTACAGCACAGAACAAAAACTTCTTGGGGAACTTATTTCACTCATGGACCAGTACTCATGTTCCAGCTATTCTTACTGCACATGCAAGGGCTTAGCGATGCTCAGTGGCTAGAGGATCAAAGATGCTGCCCCAATGTGCCCCATCTCTCTCAATTCCTCTGCAACTGAGAGACCTGGAGAAGGTACGTATCCTGAGTGGCACAGCGAGTTGCAGAGGTGCTGGTTCCCTCAAACCCCTTGAATTTTTGAACGAAGGTTTCATCCATTGGCACAAACACCTTTGGGATCCGGGGACCTCATTTTTGTGGCGTGTTTCGCCACGGCGCCAAGGCCACGGTGCAGCCCTGAGAGGCGCCGCCCAGAAAGACACGATGCCCTTGGCCGTGCAAACGCTCCACCTCCTTGGGGTGCGCTGAAAAATGTCTGGAAAAACTGGAGATTTTCACCAGAAATACAAGATAATTTGCGGATGATTCTAGAATCGAGCAGTTTCCAGAATCTTAGGTTCTGATTGACATGACTATATTAATATATGAATATATATATATAATTATATATATACATTAATTGTATAATTAAAAGGGCGAAGGATGGGGATCTTCGCTCACAAACAAGTGATTATCACCACACATTGAGCTGTCAAACCAAGGCTGGGTTTGCATGTGAGGTGATAAAAACGCTTGGAATGGAGACCCACGGCACTAAATCAACAGACGAGGGAGATGCAACACAAAGAGAGTCATAACACCTACAGCAAACCAAATGTATGAGGGTAGAACCAATGGAAAGGGGTGTATAAAGAACAAATAAGGTCATAAAAACAACCAATAATTGTATTGGTACAACCAGCAAATGTATGGATACGGAAGGCAAACAAGTGTCTATTTCTAATATATAGGCAATGTCATTTCAGTACGCAACCAACATCTTGCAACCAACGGAAACGTTGATGTAAACAAGAGGGTAATGTAATATCATGTAATGTCAACAAATACGAGGAGACATTTCTACCAACCATCCAAAATCGGAACGGTAAAGCTATTTTCCAGTTCGGAAAAAGACAAGAAGAGGTTCGTCAACCAAAATGTGCACCCAACAAATTTACAACAACCGCTGATTCTGATGTATGATTTGAAACAGGACTGATAGGTCATCGGCAAAGTCTTGAATGTGCCATCCGTAGCCGAGCCGAGCTAAGCGGTTGATCAGTTGATCAGTTGATCAACCCCCAGCATCCCAAGGCTTCATTTACAGATGAAAAAAAACGATGTACATCTATGTGCTATATAACATGAAATACAGTAACATTATGTGCTATAATTGTGCTATATAACTGTCATTAACTGTCTATGGATGTACAAGTGCTATAGTTGACGGCGTCTGGCATTGATAGACCATCCAGGCCCAGCGGCGGAGTAGACCAAATGCGCCAAGCGGTCACGAGTTTGTTCCAGGGTAGAGAAATTGCCGACTTTGTTGCTGCTCCTTCTGACCTATGGTGGGTAGGATGCTTGTCATGTCATGTTTTTCACATGTGTCCCCAAGATTCCCTAAGCTTCAAATCAAACCCACTGCACCCAGAAACAACTTCAATTGGACAAAAGATGACGAAAATTACGAAAGCTTGGGCTTTGATCGCTACAATTAAGGAAAACCCACGTATCACATTCCGATGCCCACAAGATTGCCAAGGCCATTGTGAATCTCAATGTGTGAGAGACATGTGGGAACAACGCGCAAATGTTTGTTGGTCAGACTCCCTCTGCCTATTGTTGTGCCTCTTCTCCACTCTCAAAACATCTCAAAACCGACCCTTTTTACAGATGGGTTTTACAAGTTATGTTTGCATGTCTTAAATCCGTCCAATTTGAAATCCATAACGAGAAACACGGGAAAGAGCCAATGAGCCAATGAGCCAATAGCATTTGCCGCTGCCATTCGTGCAGTCTATTGCGTATCATCCCAGCCACCCACAGTTCCAAGTGACATAGCCGTGCCACGAGGGCTCTTCATCACCCCAGGGCTGCCTGTGGTGTGGATCCCGGCAATATCCCACTGATATCAGGTTCGTAAAAAGGTTGGGGCCAGTACAGATGCTCATTTCACCATGTTAGATCATTTTAAACTTCAAGAAACCCACAATTGAGCAAAGATGGCAAAGACTACCAACCAAAATCATGGCCTTAGTGCCCAAGGTTACACGAGGCAATCAGCTGTCCATAGCCCCGGACCTCATGACTTTTGCATCCGGCAGCACAGTCCGCAAGCCCGGCCAACGCTCCTAGCTGCAGGTCCGTTGGTTCCGCAAGCAACGAACCATCAATGGCTGCCATGGATGCCACATGATGCCACTGTCTTGTTTCAAAGCGATCTTAAGAGGCAAATTCCGCAGCACGATACAATTTGTACAGCTTGCATCACCAACGATAACCAACCAGCTAAGCCACATTAAGCCATACCCTACCGGGAAGCCGGTGGCAACTAAGCTGCCACACACCTGGCACGGCCCCATTGTCCCACCACGTCCCACCATGTCCCACCACATGTCCTTCCCGGTCCAGGGGAGTTCCCAACCATCTTCCAGGTATTGCGCGGCGTTGCAGGAACAGCCATGCAGGTAGATCAAAGTACACCTAGGAATTGGTCATCTATTTCGATCTGTTTTGGGATCATTGTTCGTTTTTCTAAATGAAACATCCATAAGCGGCTCAAATGAAAGCTGAAAGCAAAAACAGAGCTGCTCTTGATATTCGTAGCAAACATTGTCAAACATTTATAAATTTAAGTATCTGATTGCAATTCAATACATTTCATAGATAGCAAACAGAGATTTAATTACAACACTTCCCCGTACCCACCACTTGTAATCTGCAGTGCAATCTTTAAGGCCCAGCTGCTCGTGCTTGTGACCCGGGAGAGGATCTACGACCTGCACGTCTGAACATGTAGGTTGCAGCGGACATGGCATGAGGGTATAATATACGAAAAAAGAAAAGGTTGGGATACGAACCAAATACCAACCCAAAAGGGTGCTTCTTCAAATACCCATCATTCCAATGTTTTGGGTTTCTAATTTTTCGGAAGCAATGATATGTGGTTGGCGACACCAAAATCAGAGCCACCCAGTCAGCTTGAGCAAAAGAGCTACTGCTTGGATGTTTACCGAGATTTCCTAAACGGTCAGCATATTGAGAACGGCCCACCGATCACATCTTACGTCTCATGGGGATTGCGCAATACGACTTACAATACTCTCGAAATCCATGCCCTAGCCAGGTTGCAATGTGTTGCAATGTATGAAACATCCACAAAAAAAGCATCCCAAGGGGGCCAAGGGATGCCAAGGGTCTAGAAGAAGTTTCAACATGTTTCATCCCCAGAGAGTCCGTGCCGTTTTTTTCAAACGGTTTTTCCGTTTGCGTCTTCATTTTCTGGCACCTCTCCACCCTCCAAGACCTCCTGGGCCACATCTTTCTGGTGCTTGGCTGCCACATCTTGAGCCGGCTTGGGCTTGATGGGGCCACCTGAGATCTCTGTTTTGGGACTTCATGGGATTCCTCTGATGTTGATATACCGAGCTTGTTGCATTGTTACATCCTCAATCTTATTGGATGTTGCTTCGTCAAGATATGGGTCTGTAACATCATGATACAACATGTAACAACCCAAAAAAAACACTTGGGGTTCAGCCAGAGCTAGTAGAATGATGTAGAATGTAAGATGCTTCTGAATTCTTGGGACGATTGACACTATTGATCACAAGAAAATACCTGGGACTAGTGATCACTACCCAGGTCTGTCTCAAAATGGGAGAACCATTGCATGGATTCTCTAATTAAATTCATCCATTTTGGTGGATATGGGGGTTCAGCGCTGCACACACTTATCCATTTGTCTTGCTCTTTGTGACATGTACGAGCATGTGAGTTCACACAAATTCATCACCCACCTGCAAATACTGATTATCTGAAGTATTCTGAATTTATCTGATTAAAGAATCACAGACACCGTTGGAACATCTCATCCCAGCACTGGACATTTTGCCCAGAAACTGAGCACGGTCAAAGACCGTGAGGTGAAGTCACTCACCTGACACGAGGCTCGGAGAGGCTCAGAGTCATTCGGAGTCAACGACTATACTGGTTTCTTCACAGGGCACGGAGTACCACCAAAGGTGGAGTTATAAAATGGGTACAGGCAAAGATAAGTGATATAAGTCGCTGGCTAATGAGAATGAATGAGAGATGTAAGGGTAGACAAATTTCGGAATTCCTCAACTGTGAGATGCTGCACGGAATATGTGGTATGCCCACGCAATATCAGCAAAGTGCGATCTCACAAGGGACCTATTTTATTTTGAATCTTATACATTATATACGTGTACATATCATTTTCATTCACGTTAATTCCTTTTCATTGGTATCTGATCGTATCGGATGATGACACCAAATCGCAAGCTTGGCAGTCATACGGTCTAAGATGGTGCTTTCTTGATTGTTTGGATCCGACTTATACAACTTCAGGGTCACGGTTTAGGATACACATGGATGCACGTTCTGGACCAGACTTGTGGCAATGTGCTGATTTGATCTAATCTGTGCAAGTCGGCGATTGTTCTTTGTGAAGCTCCACACTGTGGACAGATTGTTCATTGAGTTCATTGTTTCTATATTTTTCTATATTTTCTATACGCTTTGATAGATGAGGTCACGCCTGTAGCAAGGTGAGGCCACCCACCAGCAAAGCATTTCGTCCACGACCCATGGGACGGCGTGATTCACTGTGAAGATCAATCCCCCATATCCATGGCATATCCATGTGGCTGGAATTCATCTCAGCTCCAAATCTTGGTTCGATGGGGGGTATACTGATCTTTCAGATTGATGATGATTGATGTATTTTCATGACTCTTGCTTTGCAGGGCATGACTTGCTATCATGCGGCTACCACTCTATGGATTGTATGCAAATCATATGCAACAACATTTACTTGATTTTGGGGTTGGCCCCAAGAATAAAGAGAACACCCTGCACTTGCCCATACGTAAAAGGACAAAAAAGGACAAACAACTACCCATTGGTCTAATGTGAACATTCAATGTAGGCTCTTTAGCATACATCGAATATACTTCTATTGTCCATGTTTTATCTTGTTTTGGCCACAGGCTCTTAATGGGAACCCCTTTTCGGGTCTTGAGCCAGCGAAACTAGCACCGCGCAGCAGCAGTCCGCATGGGTCCTGGTTAGGAGTTCCTGCAGGCACTGAAGTCCAATGGGTAAAGAAAAAATGGTAATTTAGTCAGCTAGATGATACAGCTGGATATAGTTCACTGGACTGCATTGGTGAGCCATTACTGATGATTTCCACCTATTGAACATAATCTTTGGTGAGCGCAGGGACTTTGAAGGCATGCAACGCTGGAGTTTCATTCAGAATTGGACCTCCTATTGCAGGAGTCTCCACTATCCAAAATGGAACCCAAAAGCAGATACAAGCCTCGCAAATTAACCAGCACACAGTAAATTGCCATGGATTTGACCTTCATCTTCATGAAACTGAATAGGGGTGCTCCAACATCATTCCCGGGTGCGCTGGTTACAGGCACAAACAGCACCTCGCTGCTTTGACACGGGCGAGAACTTCCAAGGCGCCTGGCGGTTTCTTCGGTTTTTCAAAATAATCTAGTCATGAGTCATGAGGAGAAATAATCCCGGCAAGAGACCCCAAACAGTGTGGGGGAGTGGGCGGGTAATGCATGATAACGTGGCTGATGATGATGATGATGATGGTGATGATGATGATAATGATGACGATGACGACGATGATGATGATGATGATGACGATGACGATGACGATGACGATGATGATGATGATGATGATGATGATGATGATGATGATGATGATGATGTGATGATGATGATGATGATGATGATGATGATGATGATGATGATGATGATGATGATGATGATGATGTGATGATGATGATGATGATGATGATGATGATGATGATGATGATGATGATGATGATGATGATGATGATCATGATCATGATCATGATCATGATGATGATCATGATGATGATCATGATGATGATGGGGATGAGGAGGAGGATGAGGATGAGGATGTTGAGGATTGAGGTGTAGGCTGATAATGTGGAGGATGATGAGGTGGAGGATGATGAGGTTGAGGACAATTATGTCAAGGGGAAGAAAAGAATGATGTTGAGAATGATGATGTGGAGGAGAAGAAGATGATGATACTGAGGAGGAGGAGGAGGAGGAGGAGGAGGAGGACCGATCACACGACCGCCCCGCCCGGTTTGCGCGGCCTGCGCAAGCGAAATGCACCTGGACATGTCACAAGAGCCACTATTATATCTATTATTATACGGAAATTTGCAGGAAAAATGCCGCGGCCCAGATTGGGCCCAGAACGCGGGCACACACTTTGCGCGAACCTGCGCAGTTGAAATGCATATCAGAAGAGCCACTTTATACGGAAATTTGCAGGAAAAATGTCGCGGCCGAGATTGGGCCCAGAACGCGGACACACACTTTGTCTCCACCTGTCTCCACTATGTCAGTTGCGTTGCCATGGCTGGGGCCGCAGGGACGCGCGACGCAAAGTAGTGAGAAACGATGGACGCTGTTCAGATGTATAATTTAGTTGATGTGTATGCGCATGTTCGGCAAACTTTGTACATGTAGCTGGTGCTCGGTCAGATATGAGAAAACAATTTCTGCCGTATGTACTTTGGATCATGAAAAGATGCTGCGAGCTACAAATGTGTTTGCTTGTTCAGAGACACGTTCCAAACAACTTTGTGCAGGTATATAGTATATCCTATTCTGTGAGTTGGTTCAGGCGTGAGGCAATTGCTCCAAAGACACTGTGAGCCGAAGCAGCATATCGCGTAGATGAATCTGGCGACAGGTGGTGAGAAGACGTGACAAGAGAAGACAAGAAGTAGAACGCAGAGAAACGCTTTGTGCGAGCCTGCGCGCGTCCCAGAATGAGCCCAGCGGACAGCCCAGAATGCAGACGAACACTTGCGCGAGCCCGCGCAGTCGAAACGCATGTCAAAATATCAGAAGAGCCACTTGATACGAAAATTTACAGGGAAAAAGCCGCAGACCAAAACAGCGCTGCACACTTTGTGCGAGCCTGCGCGGTCGAAACGCAATGAAACGCATGTCAAAATGTCAGAAGAGCCACTTTGTACAGAAATTTACAGGAAAAATGCCGGGGCCCAGAACCGCGATCACACTTTGTGCGAGCCTGCGCAGGCTACAGGAAAAATGCCGTCGCCCAGAGTGAGCACCCTGATCAAGCACTGGCCTTTACTCTCACAGTAAGAACCCCTCAGTGTGGACACACTGTTTGGGGAAAAACACAAGACCCATGGACAGATGATCAACAATCCAAATGATCAAGTGGAAAGCGGCAGTAACGATGGTTCAAACTCAATGACCAGCCGTTGGCAAAAAGATAATGTCGCAATTGACACTGAATATCCAATGTATGCAACCTTAACAGTAGATCATCCATAACTTGGGAGCCTCCGTCATCCACCATGGTCACTTTAGTGAGAAACCAGCATCCTCCATTAATACCCTCTGCCAATCCAGCCTGGCAACCCAAACCCCCATGTATAGTTGGTTCTTGGTTCAAAATGTCGGTCTATGCACATATAAATCCTGGTCCCTGGTATAGATCAACGTAGAACAAGGGATGGAAAAATAAGGTGTGATAAAGTGTGATATCCAATCTCTCTGCAGTATCAGTATCCTATAATTTCCCGATACTTAAATACATAACCAACAATAGCATCCAAAAATACTTAATATCTATAACATATGTCCAACAAATAATATTGTTGAGGTCAGTTTTAGATCCATGGATTTCCCCACCCTTTGCACCGCTCCTGGCCGTTTCCGCGGCGTCTTCTCCAACATCCGTCGCAGCAGATTCCGCAAGGCATCGCTCAGCGCTGCGGCCGAACGGCGCAGGGGACAGGGCCGACAGACCTGGCCGGTGGCCAATGGAAATAATGTATGTGTCATAGACATATAAAATCATCATAAATAAATATAAATAATATATGTGTGTTACTTTGGTATGTAATTTAGATTGTCGATTCTTATTGTTAACCATTTATTTGTTTTCATTATTGTACATTATTGTTATTGTGGTACATCGTATATCATATGGGGGTTGAGCAGATGGACACAGGCGGTGGATGCTAAACAACATTGCGCAAATCCTTTGAGCATCTGCAAAAATGGTGATGCGTAAACATATTAAACATATTAAACATACACAACCCAACTGCTCATCCTTTGAGGTTTGAGTCAGCTATCCTCAGCTGTCCTTTGTTGGTTTGATCGGTTCTGACTGCAGTAAAATATGTAAAATCCCTAGTTCTGTTCATGACACCAAGAGTGGAGTCCACATTGCTGAAATCACATCACTTGTTGAATTCATAGTCCATTCAAGCGGGCTCAAAATGATACATGATGCACACCCTGGAACCCCCAAATGAACGGCATTTTTTAATTCCAAGGCCATCTAAAACCATCCAATTTTGGGAGTACTCAATGACTTCACCGGCAGTTTGATCTCCTCATTTTTGGGCCACGTCATTTCCCCAGATCGTGGGTCAAAACCCTGCATTACTGTAGCTCACATTCCAAAAATATCGCCAGATTCTTTTTCCGAAATCATCTTAGGTTTGATTGTTTTGGAGATTAAAAGATCCTTGGACCCAACCCAAATATTGAAAAAAACATGGCTGAATTCGGCTCTGAAAGAACCTCCGCGGCCATGGCGCTGAAGGCACGTTGCAACTCAGCAGCCTGCGATGTTGCGACAGGTAAGGAGTCAGGGGTCGAGTCATTGGTCGACTTTCACAATACCATTGTAGTATATCATAGTATATTTTAGTATAATTGTCATTAGTTCACTAAATGTCAAAGTTAGCCACTGTTGAAATTAACCAAGCTATGCATGATGTTTAAAGTCATCAAACCCACATAAGACTGGTTACTGTTAGATTTAATTCTAAAAAAAATGAAACATTTCTTTCGGAGAGTTCATAATTTTGATCCATACACAGTAGATAAGCAATAGCTCCCAAATTTAATGGGAAGTTGGGAAGCAACTGTAGTACACCTCAAGTTCAGCAATGCCAAAATGCCAAAAAACGATCTCTTGGGCAGCAGTTTTGCAGGCTCAATCAAACCCAGTGCAACCTCCCTTTAGAAGTTTAGAATACTTATGATCTCAGGACCCATCCGTACCTCCCTGCTTGGAGTTTCCGATTTTGTAATTTCTCTGGGAATGCACTGTGCTTATCAGCCACGGGGGGACCGTTTCCCGCCTCAAAGATACTGCAGCCCAGCGAAAACACATCGCTCCTGGGGCCGTACCTGGAAGCAGGTCATGATTTCAAGCGGTCTCGGGAAGGATGGGGAAGATTTAAGCAGTGCAAGCGAAAATATGATCAAACACGACCAGTATAATTACAGTATCATCCAATACATAGCAGTAATATGCATTAAAGTAGCATTGCTATAATGAAAATATCTAGATAAACACAGTCTAGATGGTGGACAAATGTTGACAATAAAATGCCACCAAGATTCAAACCTTGTCTTGACAAAATCTGCCGACACCCGATGGTTGGTGACTGCCCTTGGGCCCAGACCGATGTCCCAGCCAGACCTCACAGGGGCAACGGTTTGGCCGGTCAAATTTACCAAAAAACTCTGGAAATGAAACCAGTAATAGACAGATTATTCAGTGCTGCTAATCCATCCTTTAAAACCCAACATCAAGCCACTTTGTCTGAGACATTCTGAGACTAAGGCACCTTGAAAATCCCATGATTGATCATCATGTCATGCAAAATTAGACTATGTTTTTCTATCGAACATGATTGAAACCATGTGTTTGGGTACTCCGGTACTCCTCCATTTTAGGGAAACTCTGGGAACATCCCGACGCTTTGGATTTGCGCCTCGGGTGCCAGATATCCGGGCGTGCCGATCTGCGTCGCAGCAAGGGCACCACTCAGAACCTGGAGATTGCGATGATTTGTGATGTTGACCATGTTGACCAACTGGGAGGATTTCACTTGACTTAGTGGTTCAACTTGTTAAACTTACAAAAAGTGGAAATGTATATTAGAATACAAGAAGCTAGAGAAAAGAAACGAAAGAATGCTTTGAGCAATGCAAATCATTTTTTCCAGCAACAAAAAACACAAAGGTGGGAGCGAATACTTATGGAAAACATTGTCAAGCCAATGACGAGGGAAAAATTGGGCATCACTAACAAAGATTGGCGTACAGCCAACAAAACAGGGCCATCATCAATAAACCTCTACCTTGGAAGCCAACAATCAGCCAACACACATGGATGACTAACGAATCCAATCAAGGGAACTTGAGATATTTCACGGCAATGGGCTGCAATTTGACCCTTTATCTACTGATATGTTTTTGTGCCGAGCCGCATGAAAAGAAGTACATGGGACTTTAGCTAAAATGCCAGATACAGTAAACAAGTTCTTGATAGATTTTCATGGCCTGCCTTAGGAAGGAAATTTTGCCTTCGGGTGGTTCAAGGTTTTTCATGCTAGTGCTGATTGATGCAGCGCCGTCAGGGATCTATCCACCCACTACGTCTAAAATCCCAGTTTAGTCCAACAAATTCACTTTCGAATTGGTCAAAACCGTGCTTATCTGCCATAAATCTCCCACATCAATGGCCCTCCATGGCCCTGAGCTGCCTTGGCGATGCTGAAATCACCCAGAATCGCATCGCTGCTCTTGGAGAGGAAGATGTTCCTATAAAGGTGCAGCTGCAATCCAAGCAACATCGAACAGGCCCACACGGCTAAGACGATGCGGGAAGTGTATATATATATATATATTAGTATATATATAATTATGTATTATATATGTATATATATAATTATATATTAATATACTGTATGTATGTATATATATAATTATATAGATCTCAGACCTTGACCAAAGAACATGATTTAATATAATCTTCAGATATTTGGGGAATATCTCAAGTGCACAAATGGAATGCCTTTCGGCCACTTAACAGGTCCATGCAGCTTTCCATGGATTCAATCAATCCTGAAGGAAGTGATGCGTATGATCCATGATGATCGGAATCAATGGCTTTATTGGGCGAGTCACATCTTTTGACAGTCAGTTGTAGTATGTTGTAGTTGGTACATGTTGGGACCTTACCCGAAACAAATCAACCAATCAAAGCCGTGAAATCATGAGAAATCCATTCGGCCTCAGACTTGGTGCTGTAGTTTTCCCAGGTAAACTCCCAGTGGCATTGCTAGGGTCGATCAACGCTGCGCATGAGCTTTCTCCCTACAATACCTGGCATGATCAAACTATATCAAACTGTGATCAACACAATCAAGAAAATGGGATCATCTAAGGGCTCTGGTATTTCTCATGTATTTCTCATATGTTGGTATTTTGGCAGATGGCATATTCTTGTGACCAACTCAACGAGTCCTTAAGCGCGACCTGGGCTGCCCCACGCGGGTTTCACATCCCGGTGTAGAATTTTCACCTGCGACTGAGAGCTGTTGTGGAGCCCGCGGTCCTTTGGGGATCTTCAACAAACAGTTTTTTGGATTTGGGGATCTTCAATTTCCATCAAAAAATACCATCAACAATGGAAATAGCTGTTTTTAGAAGAAACTCACCTAGTGAATCTAAGAACAGAAGAATTAGTACGATGCTGTGGTGCTCGGTGTTCTGGCAGCAATTATCAATACTTGGCAGTTCCACAGATTCCACAGGTGTTTAGCAGGATGTTCAACTAACAGTGACTAACATCTTGCGCATGTTGTAAAACAGCAAAACGACTTAACGATTCTGCGGCGCACCCTGTGAAGGAAGGCCAACGCACTGGAAAGGTGCCGGAGCCTGGAATCGTGGGAAGCTTCAGCAGGGAGATTTTAAGGAGCCCCAAACACGGTCGAAACACGGGAGTCAAAGGGAAAAACATGAAACTATTTAAGAATTTGACATCATTTGACCTTAGTTTTCAATGTATGGATGCAACTATCTTTAAAAAAAAGGGATTTGAGAAACAAACCAATGAGATTGCATGGAAAATGGGGCTTTAGCCGGCAACCAGGATGGCATGGAAGCAATAAACATGGAGTTACAAGCACATGACACGAATCAGCCTACAGTGCATACAGGTAGTTTTTGTCTTGGTTCTTTGAATCACCCCCAAGACCTTGGAAAAAGAATAGTGTGACACAACTCGTGGACTTTGTGGACCCGGTCGTACTGGTTTCCGTGGTTTCCTGCGGTGGGTCTCCCCACCACCGCCAGAGCTGATCCTGGGATCACAGTCGAAAGCAAAGCTTGGGCATTGTGGGCATTGAACATGACACCGGAGAAGTTGTCATTGGTGTTCGGGGACCGAAGTGGGACGCAGCAGTAATAGAATTAAATTTTCTCTCTTTTGGTAATGATTGGTAAGGACTAAATGATATTAAATTGAAAGAAGATCCGATAATATTAATGTAATCTCAGGGAACTCTTCATCCAAGAAACCGAGTAGCAGCAGATAAGACAATAATAATAAAAGAATAAGAAAAATGAAAAGCATAAGAACTACCAATTAATCTCAAATAATATAGGATCTGAATGGTTATCTTCTTCCCACCTGCCTACCGTTCGCGACGCAGTTATGGAAAGAATATCAGGAAACTATGAGCCAAAGCAGAAGCTTAGCGAAGTGTCGATCACCAGAGTTTTCCCCTCCTGTTGCCGACACTGCGTCTTGCTCCATTCCTTTCCATCCCAACTCCGGCCTCAGGGAAACCATCCAAAGACATTTCTCGTCGTCGAGTAATGGCCTGTGCCAATGAGGGAAGCGGACTCAATAATGGGCTGGTGAGTTTGGTGACTTTGCGCCATTTGAACCATTTGCACCATTCGAATCATCCAGTATGCCAGTATGTTTTGGGGGAAAACATCCAGTTTGAAAAAAACACTCCTGGAGATATCATTGCTATGTATAATTCATGCCTTAATTTTGACCTGAAACCATCCCACTTTGGAAAATCAACGAAATCAATCACTTGTGAGCCATGCCAACCTAGGAATTAACAAATAACACACGTGTCTTAAGACGTCGCATATCTTCACCTGTCTGCGGCCAACATCCTGAATATATGAAGATCTTGTTCAAGGGAAAATAACCAAGTCGGTCAAAGCCTCGGCGATTTGTTGGGTTATGACAATAACATGTTAGAACTTGTAACCTCCAAAAGTAAATCTGCATCTATATTAGCCAAAATGACCATTTGAATGTCTGTCTGCCTCTCTCTCTCTATATATATGTATATGTATATGTATATATGTATGTATACATACATATATATAGGTTGGTTAATCTTCCAACCATTTGTTGGCAGCTATTTCCCGACATAAACCATGTGTATTCTTCCAAATTTCTAAAACCTCAGTATTCATGGCTCAGTTTGGCTAACCTTCTCAATTTTTGTCGGTTTCAGGAGTTTGTTTGAGTTTGGTCAACCACCTTTGGTGGAGTTGTTTGATTGTAATATTTGAATATATTTGAATACTTGCTATAGCTAGCTATATCTATTACTCTTACCATCATAGCTACTTCTGCCGCATCTGCCGCATCGCCTGTGCCAGGTCGCCTTCCATCAGCTGCATCACCTCGGCTGTCGAACTGACACGAAAACATGGAACAGCAACAACGCCAACAAAGATATGTTATTGGCATGTATCAATATCACGTTACATATCTATTTTCTTCAGAATAACAGGAATGTCTAATTCTCATTGCGTCTTGTTGCTGTTGGTTTTTCTTTTTGGTGACATTCTTTCATAATTCGGACTTAAAGATTGTAATAAAGGGGAGCACCCCAAACATGTGGTAACAAACTATGAACGACAAAAACTCTGAACCGCAACCAAACCCGGGCAACAAAAACAATAAGAGGATACGTAAGGATAACTAGTCAGGAAATATTTAGGCCTTCCCTGGTTGGTTGGCTGACTTGCTAGTCAATAAGGCCCCTTGATCATGGGGAGATCTTCACAGGCTCATACCTTTGTTGGCAAAGCAAACGGCGACTTCACAAACATCCACGTATCTGTTTGCTTGGTTCTATGATCAAAACAACATGAAGTTGCATTGCAAGTTGCAAGCATCATCATTATCATCACCATTATCATCATCAACGTCATCCTCCTCCTCCTCATCATCATCTCAGTATTTGCAACTTTACAACTCTTTCACCCTCTTTACCTATGTCCCGCTTGTTTGTGGACACACAAACAAGCACTTTTGAATCTGTGTATCTGACGATGCGCATCTGGCCCTTGTCCACCACCAGGTCCAAGAACCTGTAGTGGGAAACCAGTCCTGGTAGTTGGGCCCACTCCAAAAAATCCCAAGAAACTACCGGAAATCCAACAAACATGGCGATCTAATATGATCTAATGCTATCTTGTGGAATGCCTTGGACGTTCCGTGAAAAGGAAACGAATCAACAGGAGATGGTGACTCGGTGGCCTCACCAGATTAGCTGATTAGCTGCTGATTAGCTGCTGATTAGCTGCTGATTAGCTCAGCCCTTCTCAGGTGAAATGCAAGGCCTCACGATATGTGGATGTCGGATGCGCTGCAGAAGCCAGGCCTTACGATGGGATCCCCCATGGAATTCTCAGAGTACCATAAAACATTCTCGATCTGGAACACAAAACTGTACAGTGCCAAAATCCACAACTGTGACCTGGACTTTTGTGGCTGCAGCTTCTACCAACCTCCTATGATTGCATATGATTCATCTAAATGTGGAGCCTCTTGCGTGGCAAGCTCGCTGTCCTCCGCAAACTAGACGGCATGCTCAGCTGTGTGAGAGCGGGGTGTGGCACTTTCTAATAGTCTAATGCTGTTCGGTGCACTCGGGGGATAGCTGGATAGGCTGGATAGCCCTAAACCATGGGGTGCCAATGAGGTCCAACAAGTCTCCAAACCGCACACATGGGGATATACGAAGCAAATACAGGAATGCAATCACTAAACAAATCATCATCTAGCCATATCTAGCCTAACACGAACAACAATGATGATTTCAACGGTTCCGGGGGGGTCTTCTACCTCTTTCATGTGAATGATGTAATCAATGTAATCCATGTCCCACTCACGAACAAACAGCCAGGTTACACGCCCAGTCCATCCCAGTCCTTGCTTCGTTGGGCCAAGTCAATACACTTCACCGCCACGAAGCCGAACGGTGATCGCGCCTCTGGTTTAACGAGCTGTAGAGGCTAATTTCATGGCTAATTTCATCAACAAAAATTGGTCGATGGATGGGTTGAAGTCGGTTGAAGGGAACCTTTAAGGGGAAGCCATAGTTTGATCAGCAATTCGAGGGCTTCCCTGCACATTTTCCCTGAAACCAATCCTGGGAAACCGCGGATATGAGATGCAGCAACGAACATAGGACCGAACAAAACAACACCAAGAAAAGATATAAAGGTGATATCATCAGCAAGAAAAATTCGGTGTGTATAACTCAACAAAAAGAAGTGGATCCAAGAAACAACATGATAAATCACAAAGAAAACCCAAGAAAACCAACATCAAACGGAGTCATGAACAACTCGATATACATGGGAACATGTCAAACTTTAATGGACTAGTTCGCCATGCTCACAAAAAATGGCAAATACTTGTAACACTATCAGATATCATTCATAGATTCATATCTACAATCTGTCCTCTACACTGGACTCTACTGAAGGCACCTGTGCCTCCAACAACAGATTTTGACATTCGGTGACTACCCTGTGGAGAAACAGCTTAAGGCCAGTTGAACAGCAGCCATGATAGCTGAAGCTGTTTTCTACGGCAGAATCCTCTGAGGGCCCTTTCTTTTGGGCCACGATCTACACGGACCCCGGGAATTGCTGGATATCGATGATACCCAGCCCATGCATGCAAAGTGCTTAAGTGACACCGGGGCTAGATGGTTGATTATGTGTTGATTATTTGGCCCTACCACCAATTTAAAAAAATGCTGCGACCTTCAATGCCCGATGTCACCGATGTGCAGTATGTAGCCGACACTGAAACCAGCGGACGCGCTTAACTGTGCTGACAGCGCCAGCGGGTGAGTGTCCAATGATTCATTGACACACGATGCAACTTTGCTTGGAAGGTGTCAGCCAGTTTCCAGGCATGTCTGTTTTTTTAGTTTCAAACCATACAAGTACCAATAACCATCGTAATCATATGTGCTAATGAGAATGATGATCATGGGACTACCTAATGGTCCGTTGAAGTCCCAATGCAAAGCAGCAAGGATGAAAAGCAAAAGACCTGAAAAAACACCACAATGAACCAGTCTGTGTCAAGGCCAAGGAGCTCATCTTTGCCTCTTTCTTGTCTGCTTGGTTATAGCATGGCATAGCTGCAGGATAGGTAGATTGTGGTCCCTGTTCGGTGTAACACAACAAATGTTACTCATGTTACTATAAGTGGTTAAAACATCTTAAACTCCATGGCCATCCAGGTATTTTCTTCACAATGTCCAAGGAGATCCAAGGAGCACAACGCCGACACCTCCAATTTGACAAGTGGCTCTTGAAACCGCCGCGTGGAACGAGCTCCCTTTTTGGGAGCCCCTAATGCGTACCCTGTGCACTGGGAACCCAAAGTAATTGAGAAAAGGAGTTGATCCAAAAGTTGGCGGAAACCATTTAATCCAAAAAAACAACTTGGGATGTAGTGAACACAGGAAGCAGACATGGATATCATACAGACCTACCCCTTTAGACATGCGTCCCATGGGTCGAAAATATCTAATAGGATACTGAGCCAATCACTGAACTTTGTTCGGTAGTATATCGGCTTCATGTGAACATCAGGGCCAAACGTGGCTCAGCCGCTCATGAGCGGTCACAATGTGACACGCTATTGCATGATATGGTTATTGGATGTTATTGGATGTTGTTGGTCCGGTCTTACGGATCAACATCAATTATTCTCGACCCTGTGTTTTCACGGAACTCAGCTTTCCTTTTCCAGTGAATCATGGCCAGGTGCTGACCCTCAACTCTCGCAGGTTTGTTATGATGTGATCGGTGCAAATTATTAGAAATCACAAGCTGGCACAGAGGCGATCGGCACACCTTAGCCAAAGCAGTCCTAGAAAATCTATAAACAACAAAAAGTAGGCAACTAGCAAGCCTTACCACCTGAAATGTTAGCCATTTACTGTTTTTGGATGACGCCAATCATGAACACCCCTTAACCATCCTTAACCATCTTTTCTGGTGATTTCAGCGTACTTTGGGAACAGCCACAGGCATCGCCAAATGCGACTACTGCGACATGCAGCTGAGATGGACGCTTTCTGGTTGGTGGTTGAGCCTTTAACAAACATCTGAGCCAATGGATTGCAAATCATCCCAAATTTGGACAAGCAAAATGGTCAAATCATTGAACCCCCCAATTTTGAGCCATCTGATGTTTGGAGAGACGACCAAGATGACCAAGTCCATCTCCATCGAAACCTATGGAGATCACTGAATGCGCACAGTGATTGTCCCTTTCTTTGGCAAACTTCCGAAAATTTGCTTCGCTTCGCAGGTAACGTGGTTGTCACCGCCATGGCAGAACTTCCGTCACGAATTCATCCCACCTGGAAGCAAAATCGAGATCGAAGGTGCCCAGTGCACAAGGACAATCATAACAATCATACTAATCATAAATTTGAATAAATCTGAATAATTGCATCTTTGCCCTCGTTTATTGAAAGCGGTGCTTCCCCAAATTGTGACAGCTATTGACAGGTCAATTCAAATAAAACTCATACCCCGCCAATCAAACATATAGTATATATATCCGCCGACCCCGGCAGACGCAAGGGGGAGTGCGTAAGGGAAAAAGAGTTTATGACACAGCTGCCAGGAAAGAATAATAATAATTCGCTGACCCCGGCCGATGCAAGGGGGAGCGCGTAAGGGAAGAAGAGGTGCTGCACTGCTACTTTTACTACCAGGCAGCAGCAGGCAGCAGGCAGCAGCAGGCAGCAGGTAGCAGCCAGCAGCAGCCAGCAGCAGCCCGCACCAGCCAGCAGCAGCCAGCAGCAGGCAGCAGTAGGTGTTTGGCAGGCAGCATCCGGCAGCAGCAACCAGCAGCAGCTGGCGTTAGGCAGCCAGCAGCAGCCAGCAGCAGCTAGCAGCAGCCAGCAACAGCCAGCAGCAGGCAGGAGCAGGCAGCAGCCAGCAGCAGGCAGGAGCAGCAGGTAGCAGCAGGCAGCCAGCAGCAGGCAGCAGTAGGTGTCTGGCAGGCAGCATCCGGCAGCAGCAACCAGCAGCAGCCGGCGTTAGGCAGCAAGCAGCAGCCAGCAGCAGCCAGCAGCAGCCAGCAACAGCCAGCAGCAGGCAGGAGCAGGCAGCAGCCAGCAGCAGGCAGGAGCAGCAGGCAGCAGCAGGCAGCAGGCAGCAGGATTCTATTTTAATTTTATTTTATGGCAGCAACAGCAAGAGCAAGAGCAACAGCAACAACAACAACAACAACAACAACATTCTTGCAGCCATGGAACCAATAACACAAAGCTGCAGCAGCAGCAGCAGTTGTTTCTTGCTTTGGAAGCTGTTTGATTGCAGCAGCACGACAGCAGCACCACAGCAGCAGCAGCCACCAGCAGCAGCACCAGCAGCAGGCAGCAGGCACTAATGGGTGTCAAGAACGTGGGCAAGAGCACGCAAAAGGTGCACATAGCCAGTAGCTAGCAGCCAGCGCCAGTAGCAGCCAGCAGCCAGTAGCCAGCAGCCTACCAAAAATCTAGATTTTTCTAGGATTTCAGACGACACGTTAGGCACTTTTTTGGCGTGGTTCTGGCACTCGCTCGTCCTTCAGAGCCCTGGTGTTTTCCCCCCGGGAGGTGATTTTTTCGAACCTGTTTTACTGCTAGCAGCCACCAGCAACAGAATCTGTCGAAAAATTGTGTTTTTCTAGGATGTCAGACGACACGTTAGGCACTTCTATATATCTTGTATATATGTCTATAGGGTTTCAGACGTCACGTTTTGCAATTTTCTCATTTATATGGCACCAATGGGTGTCAAGAACATGGGCAAGAGCACGCAAAAAGGCAGCAGCAGCAGCAGAAGTAGCAGCAGCAGCAGCAGCAGTTGTTTCTTGCTTTGGAAGCTGTTTGATTGCAGCAGCACCACAGCAGCAGCAGCCACCAGCAGCAGCACCAGCAGCAGGCAGCAGGCCGCCGCAGGCAGCAGCAGGCAGCAGCAAGCATCAGTAGGCAGCAGCAGACACAAGCAGACGCAGCAGCAGTAAGCGCAACGGCAGCAGTGCAGCAGCTTGCAGCAGCTAGCAGCACGAAAAATTGTGTTTTTCTAGGATGGCACCAATGGGTGTCAAGAACGTGGGCAAGAGCACGCAAAAGGTGCACATAGCCAGTAGCTAGCAGCCAGCGCCAGTAGCAGCCAGCAGCCGGTAGCCAGCAGCCTACCAAAAATCTAGCTTTTTCTAGGATTTCAGACGACACGTTAGGCACTTTTTTGGCGTGGTTCTGGCACTCGCTCGTCCTTCAAAGCCCTGGTGCTTTCCCCCCCCGGGAGGTGATTTTTTCGAACCTGTTTTACTGCTAGCAGCCGCCAGCAACAGAATCTATCGAAAAATTGTGTTTTTCTAGGGTGTCAGACGACACGTTAGGCACTTCTATATATATTGTGTATATTTCTATAGGGTTTCAAACGTGACGTTTGGCAGTTTTCTCGTTTATATAGCACCAATGGGTGTCAAGAACGTGGGCAAGAGCACGCAAAAGGTGCACATAGCCAGTAGCTAGCACCCAGCGCCAGTAGCAGCCAACAGCCAGTAGCCAGCAGCCTACCCAAAATCTAGCTTTTTCTAGGATTTCAGACGACACGTTAGGCACTTTTTTGGCGTGGTTCTGGCACTCGCTCGTCCTTCAGAGCCCTGGTGTTTTCCCCCCGGGAGGTGATTTTTTCGAAACTGTTTTACTGCTAGCAGCCTCCAGCAGCAGAATCTGTCGAAAAATTGTGTTTTTCTAGGATGTCAGACGACACGTTAGGCACTTCTATATATCTTTCTATGTTAATTCCAGATATACCCACTCGAACGGAGAAGGAACATCTTAAGATCCAGCAACATCATACCATCGAATAACCAAAGTATATATTTCTATATGGTTTCAGACGT